TTGGGGTCTGCAGGTTCCTCCTTGGGGTCTGCAGGTTCCTCCTGAGGGGGGAACCCCTGGTGGGATTGTGGGGTGTCTGTGCAGGGCCAGGGTTGGACCTGGATGATCCTCGTGGGTTCCTCTCAGCTCACAACACTCTGTGACTCCAAGCCCTGTGTTCCTGTGTTTCAGAGCCACCTCCAGAGCAGCACCATGTCCTCCCCCAGGCAGATCTGCAGCTCCTCTCCCTGCTGGGTGTCCTGCCCTCAGCCCGTGGCCGACGCCTGGAACGAGCCCTGTGTCACCTCCTGCGGGGACTCCCGGGCCGTGATTTACCCCCCCCCCGTGGTCATCACCTTCCCTGGGCCCATCCTGAGCTCCTGCCCCCAGGAGAGCGTGGTGGGATCCTCAGCACCAGCTGCCCTGGGGGCCTCCCTGGGCTCTGGGGGATTTTACGGCTCCAGAGGCTCCTTTTGTTCTGGGGTGTCCCAGGGAAGGGAGTTCTCATCCTCTTATTGCTCCCCCAGGGTCGGTGGGTACAGGTTCAGGAGGTGGGAGCCCTCCCAGAGCCAGCAGGAGTTCTCTTTCTCCAAGAGCAGCACCCAGGGTGCTGAATGCAAGATCCAGTCTCAAGACTGAAATGGCTTTTTAAAACACTGCCATGAAAAGGCTGATTCCTGCTGCCCCTTGATTGTGTCTGTGCTTGTACCCACTCCTGTGCCTCCTGCCTTAGCTCTAAATGTGTTCTTCTGTTCCTCTCATGGTCCAAATTTCAAATGCATCCATATTCCTCCCACATCCCAACTAATATCATCATCCAGGGAGCAAAAGGGAAAAGTTTGTGCCCTGTGATTTCTCCCACCCGAAGCTGCTCTTGGTGTCCACCAGGAGCTGTGAGAACTGGACTGCAGGGGGAAGCTGACGCTTGGAGGAGAAGGAAAGAACACACTGCCTGGAATGAAGCTTCCTGAAACCAGAGGCCAACTGTGTGAAAGCCTCAAAGCCTCATTTTCTGTACCTTTCCCCCCTCTGTCACCCATGAATAAATCAGGCTGCATCATAATCTGAGTGTTCTGGCTTTGCCCTCTGCCTGCTTTGGGGAAACAACACAACTGAGGGACTCTCCTGGGCGCAGGGTTGGTGTTTCCACCCTAATTAAGCCCTGAAGTGAGAGAGGAGTGAGGACCCCAACTGATCAAACCCACGCTCCCTCTCAGCCCTCTGCTCAGCAATGAGCTTTGCCAGGTTCTAGTCCCGCTTTAAACCTTGTGCTGCACCATTTTTCACTGCTGGAAAACCACTGGAGACAGAAAACCTTCCAACCTGAACCTCCCCTGGCACAACTTGAGGGTGGAAGCAGCCCTGGAGGTGCCCACACAGAGGAACAGCCCTGGTGCTGTGCCCACACTCATTTTGGCACCAACCAGGTGCCATTGGCCCTCTTGCCCACCCGGACACACCTGAGCTCCTGTTGAGGTGCTCTTGACCAGCACCCCCAGGTCCTTTTCCAGCTTAGCCACCCTTCCCCAAGCCTGGAATGTTCCCTGGGGTCACTGTGACTCCGGGGCAGGATCCAGCACTTGGCCCTGCTGCCCCTCAGCCCGTGGATCCAGCCTGTGCCACCCCTCTGCAGAGCTGCTGCCCCCCAGCAAATCCACACCCCCCCAGCTGATCCTCATCCCCCCAGGTGATCCTCATCCCCCCCAGCTGATCCTCATCCCCCCTAACTGATCCTCATCCCCCCCAGCTGATCCTCATCCCCCCTAACTGACCCTCATCCCCCCCAGCTGATCCTCATCCCCCCCAGCTGATCCTCATCCCCCCCAGGTGATCCTCATCCCCCCCGCTGATCCTCATTCCCCCCTCTTCCTGACCCTCTCCCTCCCCCTAACTGCCCTCATCCCCCAGCTGATCCTCATCCCCCCGTGATCCTTCATCCCCCTAACTGATCCTCATCCCCCCTAACTGATCCTCATCCCCCCCAGCTGATCCTCATCCCCCCCAGCAGATCCTCATCCCCCCTAACTGATCCTCATCCCCCCCAGCTGATCCTCATCCCCCCTAACTGATCCTCATCCCCCCCAGCTGATCCTCATCCCCCCCAGCTGACCCTCATCCTCCCCAGCTGATCCTCATCCCCCCTAACTGATCCTCATCCCCCCCAGCTGATCCTCATCCCCCCCAGCTGACCTCATCCCCCCCAGCTGGCGATCCTAATCCCCCCTAAACTGACCCTCCATCCCCCCTAATGATCCTCATCCCCCTAACTGCCCCTAAATTTTTTTTCCCCCCTCACTGACCCTCATCCCCCTAACTGACCCTCACCCCCCCAGCTGCTCCATCTCCCCCTAACTGACCCTCATCCCCCCAGCTGATCCTTTCATCCCCCAGCTGATCCTCATCCCCCCCAGCTGATCCTCTCCCCTAACTGATCCTCCTCCCCCTTACTGACCCTCATCCCCCCTAACTGATCCTCATCCCCCCTAACTGATCCTCATCCCCCCCAGCCTGGCTCTGTGAGCTGGGGGAGCCTCAGGCTCCTCATCTGGGTCCTGGATGGAGACATGAAACAGGACTGGCCCCAAAAGTGACCCCTGGAGACCCCCCCGAGTGCCCAGTGCCAGTGACCCCCTGAGTGCCCATTCCCAGTGACCCCCCTATGAGTGCCCAGTCCCAGTGACCCCCCCAGGAGTGCCCAGTGCCAGTGACCCCCTGAGTGCCCATTCCCAGTGACCCCCCCCGAGTGCCCAGTCCCAGTGACCCCCCCAGGAGTGCCCATTCCCAGTGACCCCCCTATGAGTGCCCAGTCCCAGTGACCCCCCCAGGAGTGCCCATTCCCAGTGACCCCCCAAGTGCCCAGTCCCAGTGACCCCCCGAGTGCCCATTCCCAGTGACCCCCCTATGAGTGCCCATTCCCAGTGACCCCCTGAGTGCCCATTCCCAGTGACCCCCTGAGTGCCCATTCCCAGTGACCCCCCCCCGAGGGGCCCAGTGCAAGTGACCCCCCGGGTGCCCATTCCAGCTGGACCCCCCCTGAGTGCCCATTCCCAGTGACCCCCCGAGTGCCCAGTCCCAGTGACCCCCCGAGTGCCCAGTCCCAGTGACCCCTCCAGGAGTGCCCATTCCCAGTGACCCCCCCCGAGTGCCCATTCCCAGTGACCCCCAGGAGTGCCCATTCCCAGAGCGACCCCAGACGTGCACCCATTCCCAGTGACCCCACTGAGCTGCCCCGTCCCAGTGACCCCCCGAGTGGCCACCATTCCCCAGTGACCCCCTGCAGTGCCCATTCCCGTGACCCCCCCCGAGTGCCCCAGTGCACCAGTGACCCCCAGGAGTGCCCTTCCCAGTGACCATCTGAGTGGCCCAATTCCAGTGACACCCCCGAGTGCCCCAGGTCCCAAGTGACCCCCGAGTGCAACAGTCCAGTGACCCTCCCGGATGCCCATTTCCCATTGACCCCCCCCAGCGTGCCTTCCCACGTGGACCCCCCGGAGTGCCCATTCCCAGCTGCACCCCCCCCTGACGTGACAAAGTTAAACGCTTGACCCCCGAGGCCCAGTCCCGGACCCCCTGAGTGCCATTCACAGTGACCCCCCCCGAGTGCCCATTCCCAGTGACCCCCCCTGAGTGCCCATTCCCAGTGACCCCCTGAGTGCCCATTCCCAGTGACCCCCTGAGTGCCCATTCCCAGTGACCCCCCCTGAGTGCCCAGTGCCATCGATACAAGTGTTTATCTCCTTTTTACAGAAGAGGGTGGGAAGGGAAGGGCAGGGATGCATTTCCAAGGCCTGGGTGATTCATGGAGGTGTCTGTGGGGTTGTGTCTTCACCTGCTCCCAGGGCCAGTGAAACCAGGCGTGGCTGGGGCAGGAGGAGCAAACCCTGTGGTTTGGGGCTCCACAACATCTTCCCCCCTATATTTCTGTTCCTGTTTCTTGTGAATGTGAATCCTCTGCTGTCAGCAGCTTCCAAGGGTGTCTCTGCTGGGAAACACCACTCGGGGAACTCCTGAGGTAGCCCCAGGAAAGAGGCTTCCTCAGCTTCCTCAGAGGGTCACCTGCACAGCACTGCACTGAATTATGGATCACAGTCACCAAGTGCCAAAGGAAAACTGGGATTAAATGAACATTTTAGAACAGACGTCTCAGGGTCACTCAAAGCAAGCCATTCAACCCTTAATTCCACAGAAAAGGAGGGATTTGGAAGGGAAGAACTCGTCTCCTTGAGGCTAAAAAAAAAAAAGGCATTTGGAAATAATGTCAGCTTGGGGATGGAAAATGGGGAGACAATGGGGAGTAGTTTTACCAGTGAATAACTGGGGAGGAAACTGGATCTGAGGGCTAAATCTGCTGCAGCAGCTGAGCCTGCACTGACATTCCAGCCCCAGGTTCCCAGGGGTGATGCACAACTTCCCTCCCCAGCCTGTCACCCCGACCCACGAGGTGTCCGTGGCTCAGGAGCCCGGAGAGCTCCAGCCACGATCCCACAGAATCCCAAACAAGGGAAGGGGGACGTGGATCCCTCATTGTTCGAGGCTCCTTCCCCCATTCCAGGGCTGGATGTTCCATCTGTGCTTTTAGAGCTCGAAGTTGGACTCGTGCTTTGTGTTTGTCTCTTGCCCAGGAGGATGGGAACAAACAATTCCTGCTTCCAAACAGAGTGGGAAGGTGTCTTCGTGTCAGGCTGGACACGAAGGTGTCTCCCCCCTTCCCTCAGACCAGAGGCATGGGAATTAATGTGTGTGGGAAGGGTGGGATGAATTGCTCAAAGACCCTTTACTGCAGCAGGACATGGGAAAAGTGGGGCAGTGTCTCAGGCATATCAGCATTTTGTGTTCATGGATAAACTTCTGAGCAGTCTTTGCCCGGTAAGACAGCCAGAGAGGTAGGAAAAAGCAAAAAAAAGTGAAAAAAACCCCTCCCTTACTTTTCCTGAGTAATGACTCAGATGTAAAAATCCCTGTTGCTGAGCAGAATAATCACATTGCTCGGGGCAGTGCAGCTGGAAGGAAGTTCTGTTTTTTGGTGCTTGAGGGCGTCAGACACGAATGATTCATTTCCTCCTGACTGCTTAGGGAGAGGCATAAAAGCTCCCAGTTCTGGGCTGTTCTACCCCATTCTTCACCCATTTCTGCTGCCTCGCTCCGTGCTCCGAAGGTAAGTCTGGACCTGCTTCTGCCTCTGGGCTGCTGGAACTCTGCAGGGTCTGAACTTTGCTGGGATTTAAAATAGTGCAGCCACAGGAGCAGGGCAGGGCTGTCCTGCTGTGCTGGGCACTGGGGAGGGAACAGCCAGGGCTGCCTCCAGGGCTGGGCCACTCAATTCACGTGGAGGGGCTGGAGAGTGTCCAGGGAAGGGAAGGGAGCTGGGGAAGGGGCTGGAGCAGCAGGAGAAGGGGCTGGAGAACTCCCGAGGGAGCTGGGGGGGCTCATCCCAGAGAAAAGGAGGCTCAGGGGGGACCTTCTGGCTCTGGAATTCCCTGACAGGAGGGGAGCCCTGGTGCCAAGTGTGGTGTTGGACAGACTGAGGAGTAACAGGGTCAGGAACAACCAGGCTGGTCTGAATTCTGCCTCCTGTCACCTCCCCAAATAGCTCTGGGCAACACATTCCCTCCTCAGCCTCAGCCACCCCTTCCTTAAAGCTGGAATAATGAGTTGCCTCCTACTCTTGGAACGAGTACAAGTGGTGCAAAACCAGCACAGGATGGTACTAAATACCTGCAGACCAGTGATTCTGTTCTTTTCTAGTTATTTCTGAAATAAACCCCAGTGTTTCTGTTCTTTTCTTTATAAAATGTCAGGTGAAGTCAGAATCAAAAAGGAATGGTGGGAAGGAGAAACAATAAAGGACAGGGGGGTAACTTGAGTGCAAAGACACGTTATTTTACTGCTAAGGATGTTTTAAATTGGCTCCATAATTAGGAGTCAAAACAGAAACTGTCCCAGGGGAGAGAAGGGCACGAGAAGACGGGAAAAGGGACGTGGCTGCTGAAACGAAACTGAAACTTTGAGCCTCCCTCTGATCTTTTTGCCATGTTTCGCTTTCTCTTCCAAGCCCAACCTGCAGGATCCTGCTGCCTGAGCTGGGCCGTGTGTTCCAGGCCGGTCTCCACTCCCAGAAATGTCCTCCTCCAGGAAGAGCAGCATCTCCATCTCTTCCTTTCCCAGCGAATCCCGCAGGCACATCGCCAGCACCTGGGGCGGGCCCCGGCTCTCCTCCCCTGGGGGCTCCACGGTTGTGGTTTACCCACCCCCTGTGCTCATACACTTCCCACCTCCCACCATCACCTCCTGCCCCCAGGAGGGGTTTGTGAGCCCCATCAGCCCCGGGAACCCCTGGAAATCCTCGAGCGTTCTGGGGCCCTGCGGCTCTGACAACTGCAGGAGCCTTTTCGGGTGATGGGAGGGCACGTTCTGCTCTGGCTCCAGGGCTCACCGATGCTCTGGATCCATGTTCTGCTCTGGATCCACGTTCTGCTCTGGCTCCAGGCCTCACTGATGCTTTAGATCCACGTTCTGCTCTGGATCCACGTTCTGCTCTGGCTCCAGGCTCACCGATGCTCTGGATCCATGTTCTGCTCTGGATCCACGTTCTGCTCTGGCTCCAGGCCTCACTGATGCTTTAGATCCACGTTCTGCTCTGGATCCACGTTCTGCTCTGGCTCCAGGCCTCACTGATGCTTTAGATCCACGTTCTGCTCTGGATCCACGTTCTGCTCTGGCTCCAGGGCTCACTGATGCTCTGGGAGCTGCAGCCCGAGTTAAATGTGCAAGGAATGAGGAGCAGCCCCCCACCAAGGAGGAAGATGAGCCTCCCCAAGCCCCGTCCTGGCAGTGCCCACCTGGAGCACCATCCCTTCCACAGCTCCGTGCAATTCCCAAGATAATGGTTTAGTTTAGTTTTTGGGCTGTTCTTTCCACCTCCTGATAACAACGACCTCAAAACCATCACATCAACCACCTGTGGCTGTTTGAAAGCGGGATGAGACCGTGGAAGTCTTCCCATGCCATGGAAAAGCAGGAATAATGCACATGGAAGGCAGAGCCCCGGAGCAATTCTTTGCCTGCAGCCTTCAAGGAGCCCCTGCCGAGATTTTCGCTGTTTTTCATTCCCAGTAACATGTTTTGCTTCTTGCTCCCCCATTAAACCACCGTGCACCAAACCCAGAGCTTTCCTGTGGTTTTTGTCCACCTTTTCTGGTTTTTTTCCTGTTCAGCCTCTGCAGTGAAACGTGGCAGGGGTTGTTTCCTTCCAGCACCGGAGCTTGGAAGGTGCCCAGGTCCCTCGAGCAGGAGGAAGTGTGATGACAGAAAATCGTGTCATGATGGATGAACGTGTTTTGTAACCTTTACAGCTGAGTTGGATGTTCCCTCCAGGACAGGTGTGGTTCTTGGCCACACGCTCACACAGAAAGTTAAACCTGGCAGCTCCCAAGGTCCTCCCTGTGTCTCAACACTTGCCCGAGGCTCCAGTTTAATTATATCCCCATACATCGATTTTATGATGTTTTTCATTGGTTAAAAGTAGCCCCGGGATCCACGGGTAGAATTTTCCTTCGAACAGACAGCAGGAATTTTCACCTGAATGGCAAATCTTTGCTGGAATTCTGTGAGTTGTTTGAACTTTTCCCTTCTAAACCCTTGGCAGCTCCACTTAAAATCAAACAAAGAGCAGCTGTTAAGTGTTCCCTGCACAGCGACACGTGTGAGGGTGGGGAGGCCCCGGCACAGGTTATTCCATGGATCCATCCCTGGAGGGAGCAGGAACTGAACCGACAGTGTCTCATCCCGACCCGCAGAGGTCACTGCACCCTCTCTCATCCTCCCGAGCTCCGGGCACGTGTTTGGATCCCGGTGAGAGGGATCTGACCGCTGTTACAGCTGCAGGACCTTCATTAGTTTCAGGTGTTTCAAATTAAGGCTTGATCAGACTCACCTGAAGAAGCGATTTTTTTTTAAAGCTCGTTCTCCCCTTTAACTTATAAACAATAATTTAGTAAACCACGTCTGGAATCCTTTGGGGATTTTTGGAAGTGTTTGGAAGTTGTTTGGAACTGGTTTTTGAGCAGCCTGGTCTAGTGAAAGATCAGGCCCGTGGCAGAGGGGTTGGACTGGATGAACTTTGGAGGCCCTTTCCAATCCAAACCATTCCCAGATTCCATAATTCCACGACCTGCAAAATGACCCACGTCCTGTATACTCTGCCCGTGCCATGCATCACCCTCCACCTAAAATCAGAACTCACCTAAAATCAGAACTCCCTGAAAACATGTCAGTTTGACTAATTATCTCATTTCCAGAGGCTGTTTGGGAAGGCCCCACTGAAATCATGTTTAAATAACAGGACTTAAGCTACTGTTGGTCCAGGAATGATTGGGACAAGGTGGAGATGGGTCAAAGGTTGGACCTGGTGATCTGGGAGGGTTTTTCCAGCCTCAGTGACTCTGGGATTCTGTTATTTCAAACCTTTGATATCTTCGAAGGATGGAAAGCTGCTACTCAGGAGTTTCACCACAGGAAGGTTTTACCACCACATAAAATCAGTGCTAAAGGGGTTTGGGTTCTACTGCCCGGGGGGCACCTTGGTCCTGACTTTTGGGAAGGTGCCACCCGGGACAGGCTGTGGCTGAAGGGAAGAAGGGAGACCAGAGGCTGCCGTGTGATGCAACAAGTTTTAATGAGCGAGAAATGCCTGTTGGCAAAGCGAGATATCACAGAGCACGAAAAACCCCCTTCCAGCCAATTCCAGGGCACGGCCAAGAAAGGTCCTGCTCCGAGACACCCCCGTCCTCAACCGGCTCCTCCTGGCTGTTCGCAGCTGCTGCCGGAGGTTCTGGTCGCTGGGGGTGGTGTCCACAGGGAATGAGTGCCCTGGGAAGGCTGGGACAGGCGACAACAGCAACGAGGAGACGCTGAGGGGCCACCGAAGAGCGGGAGAAGGATGAGAAAGGCGAAGGGGCGGGAGCTCCACGGCGGGGCTGCGGGAAGGCCGAGCCCTCGTCCTCATTGCTCCGGTTTGGGGTCTCCCCTGGGGCTCCGGGGCCCCCCCGGGCTCAGCAGGGCCCCCCGGGCTCAGCAGGGCCCGCAGACGTTGCGGAGGACGCGGCTGTAGCGGCGCGACGAGAAGGGGCCGCAGGAGCTGCTGCCGAGCGCGGCCAGGGCCGGGCTCCCGTACCCGAACTGGGCCCCGGCTCCAAACTGGGCTCCGTAGCCCAGGGAGCCCCCGTAGAGGCCCCCCAGCCCCAGGGAGCCCCCGAAGGCGGGTGCCCCCGCGGAGCCCACCACGGCCTGCTGGGGGAAGGAGCTGAGGATGGGCCCGGGGAAGGTGACCACCACAGGCGGCGGCTGGATGAGCGCCGTGGAGTCGGGGCACTGCCGCACGCACGGCTCGTTGCAGCTGTTGGCCACGGGCTGGGGGCAGGAGATGCTGGGGGTGGTGGGGCACACGTCGTAGCAGGACATTTTCTCTGCTGGGAGGGAGGTGATCCTGCAACAGAGAGAAGGAGCCGCTCAAAAACGAGGCGCGAGTCGAAGGGAAGGACAGGTCAGGGTTCGGGGTTGGGTTGGTGGGGAATGGGGGAAACCAGCCCGGGATGCAAAGCTGGGGAATGTTGGGGCAGTTTTGGTGACTGCAGTGGAAGGATGGTCTGGAGCTGCTGCAGAGGGTCCAAAGGAGGCAGCAGAGATGGGGAAGGGCCTCGAGGGGCTGAGGGCACTGGGTGTGTTCAGCTGGAGCAGAGGAGACTGAGGGGAGACCTCACTGCAGCTCCAGTTCCTGGGCAGGGGCAGAGGAGGGGCAGGGACTGAGCTCTGCTCTGGGGGACCAGGGACAGCAGCCAGGGAATGCCAGGGTCAGGTTGGACCTCAGGGTTTAAAATAAGCTCTTTCTTCAGGTGGGTCATTAAAGAATTTAGGATATGGCCAAGCCTCTCTAACTCAGTGAACTGAAGTGGGGCAGGAGAATTCTGCATTTTAAAGCTTATTCCACCCTGCATTTTCAGTCTCCTACCAGTACAAGAATGGCCAAATACAAATTATAGGGAAATAATGTGAAATAAAACAGTATTATATGATGTTTAGTAATAATACATATTATTTAAAATAAATGCCTCAGCCCCTGATCTTGGCTCCTAAAGCCTCGCAGTAGAACAACTTGCCAAGATACTCCAAAAATAAGATTAAAATAAATTAAGGAAGAAGAAACAAAGGAAAAACTTCACCCTAAACCCAGTAAAGCAATGCCAGTGAACAGCATCCTAAGCTCTGGAATTAAAAAGAATAAAAACTAAGGCACTGTGGCACCGAGAGAGAAATGAAGTGGCATCAGACTTACCCGGTGTGGAGGAGAGAGGCAGGAGGGTGAGATGGAACAACCCTGGGTAGCTGCTGCTTTTATACAGCCCTGGAGATGGCCTGGGGGGGCTGAGCCACAGCCCAACTTCCCGAGTGATGAAACCCTCCTTGCTTTGCAAAATCACCGAAATCTCTGCCTGGCACAACCTGCACATTCCGGCTTCCCTTTCATCTCGGAGCCCAGAGGACCAGTTTCACTGCTGGGACCCTCCCACCCAGCTCGTTGCAGCAGGAATTAAGCTCCTTCCAGTTAGTTAACACTTCCTTCATTACCTTCCCCTAATGATTTTAATGGGAGCTGGAACCTGCTGTCGTGGACATGTTTGGGTTTGATGCTTTAGATCTGGCTCTGATCTCATCTGCTCACACATTTTGCAATGAAATGCTCAGCCAGGTGGAAAAACCTCCTGATCCTTCTCACAGCCACAAACTTGGGGTGCTTTGGCAGTTTTGGGCATTGGCAACGGGGTTTGGGTTTAGAAATCCTGAATTGTCTTTATTGCAGAAAACATATTTTACTCCCTGAATCCGTTTAAACTAAAGGATGAAGTTTTCTCTGCAGGGATATCAGTATTTTTTTTTTTTTTCCAGATTCATTCAGGTTGGAAAAGCCCTCCAGGATCATCCAGTCCCCCCTGTGCCCCATCCCCACCTCGTCCCCAGCCCAGAGCACTCAGTGCCACAGCCAGTCCTGCCCTGGGCACCTCCAGGGCTGGGCACTCCCCCACCTCCCTGGGCAGCCCCTGCCGAGGCCTGAACACCCTTTCCAGGGGGAAATTCCTCCTGCTGCAAATGTAAACACGAATGGATCCCCACAACTCTGTGCTGAGACTGCACAGCCCCAAAGGAGGACCTGGAATCACAGAAACACGGAATGCTCGGGGTTGGAAGGACCCTCAGGGTCATCCCACTGCACCTCCCACCAGCCCAGGTTGCTCCAAGCCCAGTCCAACCTGGCCTTGGACACTTCCAGGGATGGGGCAGGCACAGCTTCTCTGGGAATTCCATTCCAGTCCCTCCCCACCCTCACAGGGGGGAATTCCTTCCCAATATCCCCCTAAATTTCCCCTCTGTCAGTGTGAACCCGTCCCCGTTGTCCTGCCAGCCCAGTTCCCGATGAACTCCCCTCTCCCCCTGTTCCCTGCAGCCCCTCAGACCCCGGGGGCTGCTCTGGGGTCTCCACACAACCTTCTCCTCCCCACACAAAAAGGTGAAAGGGGCAAATTCCTCACTTGTTCCAAGAGATTAAACATTTTTGTGCCCCACTGGGAATTCTCAGCCTTGCCCAGCCCCTGGTGGGGAGGGACAGGAGTTTCTGCCAGACAGTTCAGCCCCTCTGGGGCGCTGACCTTGCCAGAAGTGGCATCACACCCAGACCAGCCCCATCTGCTGTCCTTGGCTGTGGGGACACACGGCCAGCTCAAGGGTCTGGGGAGGCTCTGGGGAGACGTGTCCCACCCTGATTTCCAGACTCCCAAGCTCTGGGTCCCACCCCAGAAACCCTCATTTACCCGTGGGCTGGTTGGTTGTTGAACAAACACGTTTATTTACCACGATTTCTAAGTAAATTTCTGAATGATTTGCTAAATAAACACATTTCTACCACTGAAATGAGGAGGTTCCTTTTTCCCAGACTTCGGGGTGTCCCCAGGGGATGACAGGAAGGACAGTACTCACAGTGAGTGTCCAAATACTCTTTGTGTGTGTTTTTAAGCACTTCCCAAACCCTCCTTAATAATTTACGCATGAAGTGGGGTGTCATTATTGTCATATAAATATGTGGTTGGGTTCAAACAGCCCAGCATTTTGAAATGTGGTTATTAAACTGTGAACTCTTCCTGTTCCCTTCACCAGCCCACGGTTTCAAACCTCAGCATTTCAGTTGATTTTCCTGTGGAATTGAAGTTTTCATTTATTTTTGTGGGTTTCTGTAGAAGCTCCTTTAGTGCTGAGATATTAATTCATGTTTTCTCTGTAGCACAAAAATATTGAGATGTGCCTGAACATTTGAGAGACAAAACATGGATCTGGATGCTTTTAAAAAGCACTTTGCAATGCATCTTTTGAGTTTTCCTCTAAGTGCACTATGGTCTTGTCCAACTTTGAGTTCCAGCTTCATTTAAAAGTTGTTGATTTCACAAGAAAGGCACTGTGGTTCTTTATCAATTCTATTTTATCTGCTGTGGGTAAGGAAGAAAGGAAGAAAACCTGCACCTTAAAGCAGATGATAATTATGATTAACACTTGAGGCACCGTCATTATGTCAACCAGCAAAGGAAGAGGTAAATAAATGAAGCAGCATAATTCCTCCTGTCATCCCAAATGCATTTAATGGAACGTTACCAGGCATGAATCTCGCCAATTAAGGGCTAAGATGAAAGAAATATTTGTTTTGTAATTTGCATTTCGTGCAGTGTCAGAATTTGAATCAACCCATAAACAGAAACATTGAGCAAAAACTCTTTCGTCACTTGGAGGAGGCCCAGGAGTGACAAACGTGGGCTGGGGCTCAGGGGCCACCTGGGGCACTCTGGGAAGGGCATAAATCCCTCCTCGGAGCTGCCCCGAGCCTCCCGGGATCCCAGAGCCTCTGAGGCTGGAAAAACCCTCCCAGAATCCTGGGATCCCAGAGCCTCTGAGCCTGGAAATCCCTCCCAGAATCCCGGGATCCCAAAGCCTCTGAGCTTGGAAATCCCTCCCAAAATCCCGGGATCCCAGAGCCTCTGAGCCTGGAAAAACCCTCACAGGATCCCAGAGTCCCTGAGCCTGGAAAAACCCTCCCAGAATCCCGGGATCCCAGAGCCTCTGAGCCTGGAAATCCCTCCCAAAATCCCGGGATCCCAGAGCCTCTGAGCCTGGAAAAACCCTCCCAGAATCCCGGGATCCCAGAGCCTCTGAGCTTAGAAATCCCTCCCAGAATCCTGGGATCCCAGAGCCTCTGAGCCTGGAAAAACCCTCCCAGGATCCCGGGATCCCAGAGCCTCTGAGCCTGGAAAAACCCTCCCAGGATCCCGGGATCCCAGAGCCTCTGAGCTTGGAAATCCCTCCCAGAATCCCGGGATCCCAGAGCCTCTGAGGCTGGAAAAACCCTCCCAGAATCCTGGGATCCCAGAGCCTCTGAGCCTGGAAATCCCTCCCAGAATCCCAAAGCCTCTGAGCTTGGAAATCCCTCCCAGAATCCTGGGATCCCAGAGCCTCTGAGCCTGGAAAAACCCTCCCAGAATCCCGGGATCCCAGAGCCTCTGAGGCTGGAAAAACCCTCCCAGAATCCCGGGATCCCAGAGCCTCTGAGCCTGGAAATCCCTCCCAGAATCCTGGGATCCCAGAGCCTCTGAGGCTGGAAAAGCCCTCCCAGAATCCTGGGATCCCAGAGCCTCTGAGCTTGGAAATCCCTCCCAGAATCCTGGGATCCCAGAGCCTCTGAGCCTGGAAAAACCCTCCCAGAATCCCGGGATCCCAGAGCCTCTGAGGCTGGAAAAGCCCTCCCAGGATCCCAGAATCCCAGAGCCTCTGAGCTTGGAAAAGCCCTCACAAGATCCCAGAATCCCAGAGCCCCTGAGCTTGGAAAAGCCCTCACAAGATCCCAGAATCCCAGAGCCCCTGAGCTTGGAAAAGCCCTCCCTGCCCAGTCACCAAGGGTGGAGCTGGGCACCTGTGGCAGCTCTTGCCCCTCTTTATTCATATTTTACCCTCAGTTTCTGGTCAGATGAACTCCAAACACGGTTCAGCTCAGCCACTCTTCTCACTGCAGGAAAATATGTACCCTGAGATCTTCTGGCTGCTGAACCACATAAAGAGAAGTGTCTCGTGAGATAAGGATCTGCCCGAGTCAGGAGCTGCTTTTGTGCTTTGCTGATAACCTAAAAGAGTTCTGTCATGTGTGCTGTGGTGATTTCGTTTGGGTTTAGGCTCTTTATAAAATATTGACACCGATTCTGTTGATATTTAATATACACACAACTTCAACACAACCCAAACCCAGGAACTCAGTCTGTGAGAGGCTGAGAGAGTTGGGGGCTGGTCAGTGTGGGGAAGTTTCTCTGATTGTGACCTTCCAGGACCTGCAGGAGGTTAAAGAAATGTGGGGGGAGACTTTGGACAAGGGCCTGGAGTGACAGGACAAGGGGGGATGGCTTCAAACTGCCTGAGGGCAGGGTTGGGTGGGACATTGGACAGGGTTGGGTGGGATATTGGGCAGGGTTGGGTGGGATATTGGGCAGGGTTTGCACAATGTCAGCTGTGCCCAGCACAGCTGGCAAATTTGGGGGGGTTGAGGATACAAAACCACGACACGTGTGTTTTAAATGATGCAACAGAGTTTTAATGAGAAGGGAAAGAGCAAAACCACATTGTAATACCAGGAATGTAAATCCAAGATGTCAGAGGCAAAGGCAGAGGGAAAGACACTGTGGGATCTCTCCCTGCCTTCGGTCTCGGGGGGGATAAAGAAGATTAAAGGAACTGAACCCGGGAAAATACCAGGAAAGAATTCAAGGGGAAGAAAGGAGAGGTGTGAACATGCAGAGGGCACTGAGCAGGCTCTGTGAGTGCTGCCCCAGAGCTCCCACGGCTGGAGCTGCATTTTGCTCCTCACTCCTCCCTCGTTCCCAGGGTTTCCCTGCCCTGCTCAGCAGGTCCCGCAGAGGCCGCGGCCGTAGCGGCCGTACCAGGAGTAGGGGCTGCAGGAGCCGTAGGATCTGCCAGAGCCCCACAGCCCCCGGGAGCCCCCACAGCCCCACAGACCCCCATAGCCCCCATAGCCCCACAGACCCCCATAGCCCAGGGAGCCAGAGCCCAAATATCCCAGGGATCCATAACCCCCATAACCCAGGGATCCATAACCCCCATAGCCCCCATAGCCCCACAGACCCCCATAACCCAGGGATCCATAGCCCCCATAGCCCCCATAACCCCCATAACCCCCAAGAACAGGGGCTCCAGCGGATCCCACGATGGAATCCTGAGGGAAGGAGCTGAGGATGGGCCCAGGGAAGGTGACCACCACGGGGGGGGGCTGGATGAGGGTGCTGGAGTCGGGGCACTGGCGCACACAGGGCTCGTTCCCGCTGTCAGCCAGGGGCTGGGGGCGCAGGACGCCGCAGGGGGACAGGTCAGAGCAGGACATTCTGCAGGGCTGGCAGTGAATCTGCAACACACAGGGAGGGTCAGGCTGCAAGGAAGAGAATTCCAGTCCGAGGGAGCGACTGGAACAACACCCGGGGTTCATTCTTTCCCCGGGTCTGTCCCAAGAGGAAAGAATTCCCGCTGATCTCCAGTGACTTTGGGTCATTGTCACAAACCAGTTTGAGAGGCCTCATGAAGGCCAATAATGGACCCAACAGCTTCATCACCTCGGTGGTGAATCCCAGTGCTGATCTGGGACCTCCGAGCTCTTCTCTCTCATTGCCCCTCACTCAAACTCAACACCCAACATCCAACAGCCACCCAGGCACAGCATTCTGAGCAAATAAATTGATTTCTCCCTTTGCAATCTTTCAGCTCTTGTTTTTTCACAGAGCAGATTTTCAAAAATTCCCTGAATGTCCACACAATCTACGGGAAATGTCCCACCTTGCTCTGAAATCCCGTCCCTCATAACAGCCTGCAAAGAACTAAGATGTGGTTTTGCATTATCCAGTCTTTGCAAACTCTGTCCACTTTTCAGCCACTTTTACAGCAGCTGTGTCTGAACAGCTGCCTCATATTTGTTTTACACCAGCATGGAAGGACAAGGAATACTGGCTGTGAACAATTTTTTCCCACCAGCAGAAACAATAATTATCAGAAGATAATTCTGATATTATGTAGTTCCAAGGGTAGGTTAGGACTTAAGCTTGTCCCCTCAACAACACACACATATAAATAGACACTTATCAAGAACTCACATGATATAATCCATAAAAAATCCCTAGCAACTGAACAAACCTTCTGCTGAGGTTTTGGAAGCTGCTCTGGTAACTCTGATTTCTACTGGCAAGAAACAACATTTGCAAACCCCAGTTTGACCATTTCAACCCCAAACACGTGGATGTCCAACAGCAAAGAAGAAAAACAGAATCAGGACTAAACAACCCAACATTATTAAGAACCTTAGAGCACTTATGGACAGTTCCAACCTTAGTTAAGCCAGGAGAAAAGAGAGAGGGGAATTTCAGGAAAGAATTCCCCCAGGATGGTGCTCACCCTTCTCACGGAGGTGAAGGAAGCGAGGAAGGTGGAGTGGAGAGCCCTGGCTTGGGAGAGCTTTTATACAGTTCCCAAGATCCCAGGGATCAGCTCAGGAGCAATTTGTGGATGTGCATAATTGGGGCAAACCCAAAGCTCGTGTGCCACGTAGGCCCTCAGAGTTCTGCTGACTCCTTGTTTGTTTGTGGGTTCCAGGTCTCGTGAAATGAGATGGGGGCCTTTCATCACAGGGACCTCTTTCATCTCCCAGGGTGACCTTGTCACGTTTATTCCTGTTATCATTCCATCCACATCCCTGGCCCTACAGCAGGAATTAACCTGATGCTCTTCCTCAGCTTCTCCTCTGCTCGTGGCAGCCCCCGTGGGCTCACCTGTGCTCACCTGTGCTCACCTGGGCTCACCTGGGCTCATCTGTGCTCACCTGAGTTTTATTCCCATTAAATCCAGGCCAGGACAGACCTGGAGAGAAAATTGTTTAGAGCAACTTTGGGGTCATCACGTGGATCTTTATCCCTTGCACTCTCAGCTGCTCAGTCCTCACTGCTGCTCCCAAAGGCAGGCACAGGGAGCACCATGGGGTCCTTACAGGGTTTTCTGTCACAGAATCACAGAATTATTTCGGTCCTCAAATCCCCCCTGTGCCCCATCCCCACCTTGGCCCCAGCCCAGAGCACTCAGTGCCACGGCCAGTCCTTCCCTGGACACCTCCAGGGCTGGGCACTCCCCCACCTCCCTGGGCAGCCCCTGCCAAGGCCTGAACACCCTTTCCAGGGGGAAATTCCTCCTCATGGCCAACCTGACCCTCCCCTGGCACAGCTGGAGGCCGTTCCCCCTCCTCCTGTCCCTTGTTCCCTGGGAGCAGAGCCCAATTCCCCCCTGGCTCCCCCCTCCTGTCAGGGAATTCCAGAGCCAGAAGGTCCCCCCTGAGCCTCCTTTTCTCCGGGCTGAGCCCCCCCAGCTCCCTGAACACAATTATGTTCTCCCCTCGTGACCGAGGGACTTGGGGAAACCCTCTTGCTTTGTTTGCTGTGCACTCAGCCATGGATTGCTCTCCCTGCCCTTCCCTCAAACACTGCCGAGTCCTTCGGGCCATTTGGGGCAGAAGGCAGAGACAGAGCACTGTGGAATCACAGAATCATGGAATGGTTTGGGGTGGAAGGGACCTTAAAGCTCATCTCAACCCCTGCCATGGGCAGGGACACCTTCCACTGTCCCAGGTTGCTCCAAGGCTCCATCCAACCTGACCTTTGACCTTCCAACCCAGGCTGGAGCCTGGAGACAAACCAGTCCTCCCACGTGTAGATGGGGAGGACAAACAAGCAGAAATCACCCCCAAAATTCCTGTGTCACATGGACAGGCTTTAACTTCTGTCGTGGCAGCTCATAATGGGAATTACCTGCACTTAACCAAATCCCCCCTCCATGACACTGCAGTTTGTAATCCCCCTAAACCCCTGAGACACTCTCCAGGTGCGAAGTTAATGCCAAGAGGAGCTGGCTTAGGAATTTCTGTTGTAATTCCAGGGAAGCCACTGGAACAACGCCAGGTACTAATTTCCCCCCAAGTCCGTCACGAGATGAAAGAATTGCCCATAATCTCGAGTGATGCTTTGGATCGTGGTTACAAACAAATTTGAGAGGCCTCATAAACGCCGGAGATGAACCCGAGGGTTTCATCATCCCGGGGGTGACGTCTGTGGGGAACTGGGGCTGAGCCGGGACCGCCGAGCTCGGGGATAAAAGCTGCTCTCTCTCCTCGCTCCTCCAAACACTTCCCTCGACTCCTCAGTGCCTTGGGTAAGTCTGATCTTCCTGCTGCTCTGGGGGTGTCTCCTTGGTGCTGGTTTCAGCCTGAGCTGGTGTCCATCCACTCTCTTGGTGCCTCTGCACTGACCCGTGGCAGGGGCTCTGTCTGGCTGAAGAGGTTCTTGTCTCTGGGGTGGCAGCCACACCAGTTTGGTGCGTGGAGCTCTGGGGAGTTCTGGGTGTAAGAACCACCTTGGAGCAACTGGGCAATGCTCTAAGTCAGCTGAGAGGACTGGAGCCCCTCCCCTGTGCAGACAGGCTGGGAGAGCTGGGAATGTTCAGCCTGGAGAGGAGAAGGTTGTGTGGAGACCTCAGAGCCCCTTCCAGGGTCTGAAGGGGCTGCAAAGAAGCTGCAGAGGGATGTTCCTCAGGAACTGGGGTGGCAGGACAAGGGGGTGGGTTCAGACTGACAGAGAGGGGGTTTAGGTGGGATATTAGGGAGAAGTTGCTCCCTGTGAGGGTGGGGAGGCCCTGGCGCAGGTTACCCAGAGAAGCTGTGGATGCCCCATCCCTGGAAGCATCCAGGGCCAGGTTGGACAGGGCTTGGAACAACCTGCTACCACAAATTTCCAGCTTTCCTTTACTTTTTGTTTTCATGTTCCTCCTCAAGACTCTGCTAAGGGCTTGCAGGACTCAGTTAGAGAGAGATTTGTTGTTAATTGTCTTGTCAAATGGCTTTCTGAACAGCCCGGGCACTTGCAATCCTATAATCTGTTGTTCCCTTGGCTCTCATCAAAACTGGGATAAGTGGGAAGATCAAGCTACTGTAATTAAGTTCTATACAAGCTGCATCTCATGTAAACCTGCTGAACCCAAACCCAGGTTCTCCTTCTGACTCATCAGAATGACCTTGGACAAAGTCACTTTGTTCTCTCTGCCTTTGCTTCTCAGTTTTGGGCTCAATGTGTGCAAACACATCTCAGCTCTTTGCAGGGTGTTCTGAGGGGTGAGATTTTCTGAGCAGGGCGGGACATCTCCCACACGTTGCAGAGGGAAATATTTGAAAATCTGCTCTGTGGGAAAGAAAAGGAGCCTTAAGGTTGCAAAGCCAGAAATGAGTTTGTTTCCTCAGAACGCTGCGCCCGACTGGTTATTTCAATGCTGAATTTTGAAGTGCTTGTCTTCTCCTCAGCCTGACCCTGCCTGTGTGTTGCAGATTCACCGCCAGCCCTGCAGAATGTCCTGCTCTGACCTGTCCCCCTGCGGCGTCCTGCGCCCCCAGCCCCTGGCTGACAGCGGGAACGAGCCCTGTGTGCGCCAGTGCCCCGACTCCAGCACCCTCATCCAGCCCCCCCCCGTGGTGGTCACCTTCCCTGGGCCCATCCTCAGCTCCTTCCCTCAGGATTCCGTCGTGGGATCCGCTGGAGCCCCCGTTCTTGGGGGCTATGGGGGCTATGGGGGCTACGGATCCCTGGGCTATGGGGGTCTGTGGGGCTATGGGGGCTATGGGGGCTATGGGGGATATGGATCCCTGGGATATTTGGGCTATGGGGGTTATGGATCCCTGGGATATTTGGGCTATGGCTCCCTGGGCTATGGGGGTCTGTGGGGCTGTGGGGGCTCCCGGGGGCTGTGGGGCTCTGGCAGATCCTACGGCTCCTGCAGCCCCTACTCCTGGTACGGCCGCTACGGCCGCGGCCTCTGCGGGACCTGCTGAGCCCTTGGAAATGCTCCCTGAGGAAGGAATAACCGGCAACTGAGGGGTCCAATCTAGACCCAAAGAGGTGATGTTGTGACCACTGCCAACCCCACTCCAGTGGAGCTGGAAGGACACAACACATCCTTCATTTATTCGCTCTCTATTTGGGGTCTTATGGGCTTTTTTCTTTCCATCTGTGTGTGTAACAAGTGGGATAAAACAAGTCATTTGTATTCTTCTGAAATGCAACTTCACTGTCCAGCTGAAGAGGAACAATTCTGGAAGGAGTTCCCTGCAGTCTGACATTCTTGATATTCTACAATGCTTCTCTGTGAACGCTTATTTCTCATTAAACTGATTTGTTCTGCATCAAACAAATGAACTTTGGAGTTTTAATTTATGCATCAGTGGTTATACTCTGCTCTTCTCTTTAAATGGCCAAAACTCACATCCTTACACAGGTCATGAGGATGAAACCCCAGCTGGAATGGCCCAGCTCTGAGGGAAGTCAGAGCACTCAGAGCAGGGATTTAGGAGCAGGAACCTCCCTGCCCAGCTGGGCTGCAATAATTACACTGGGGGGTCACTGAGGCCTGGAACAGTTTGGGCTGGAAGGGGTCCCAAAGGTCACCCTGTTCCACCCCCTGCCATGGGCAGGGACATCTCCCACTGTCCCAGGTTGCTCCAACCTGGCCTTGGACACTCCCAGGGCTGGGGCAGCCACAGCTTCTCTGGGCAACCTGTGCCAGGGCCTCCCCTCCCTCCCAGGGAGGAATTTCTCCCTAATATCCAACTTAAATCTTCTCTCTGTCAGGCTGAACCCACCCCCTCGTCCTGTCACCCCAGTTCCTGATGAACATCCCTCTGCAGCTTCTTTGCAGCCCCTTCAGACCCTGGGAGGGGCTCTGAGGTCTCCACACAACCTTCTCCTCTCCAGGCTGAACATTCCCAGCTCTCCCAGCCTGTCTGCACAGGGGAGATGCTCCAGTCCCTTTATCCACTTCGTTGCTCCCACAGTTCCGTGTCCTTCTGGTGTTTGGAGGACCAGAACTCAGCATTCCAGGGGGGTCTCACCAGAGCAGAGGGGGAGGATTTATCTCCACATTGAGACATTTTCTACCCTGCAGTTTGCCAGCCCTGACTCTGTTCTCTCTGTTCCTGCTGGGGTGGATGAATTCACCCTTCGGGGACCTGCAGGGAGCAGCTGTTTCTCTGTCAAAAACCATCCAGCACTTCTGATTTCATTATAACACAGCAAGTTCATCCCCATACTTCGGATTTCAAATTCCATTGTGTGGCCCAGGAAACTTTATTTAAGGATTTGACAGAAAATTGATTCAACTTCTGCAGAAACAATGACTGAGGACAGAGTTTAAGTATTTGAGTGTGAACCTGGAGTTCAAAGAGATAAAAGATTTACCTGGAAGAAATTCTGACTGAAGCCTAATGTGTTTAATAAAGAGTTTAAAGTTAGTGATCTACTGTTTCATTTCTCTACCACTGTAACCAGCAGAGCCACCACCAAGAAGCCAAATTCCTCCAAAATATCCATGAAAAATGGGGAGGGCAGGACAGTGATGCCTTCTGTGCCAGGGGCTTCCCACTGCTTTTGGACATTTGAAATCCCTGGATTTTTGGGCAGGACATTCAGCTCCATAGTTGAAGCCCTGAGCAATCTGGTCTCGTGGAAGGAGTCCCAGCCCATGGCAAGGGGTTGGAACTAAATGAGCTTTAAGGTCCTTTCCAACCCCACCCATTCCATGATTCTGTGACAGTTTAGGCTGTTACTGACACCTGCACAGGTGAGACTTCTACTGAGACAAATAACAGGGGTGAAAACACGAGAAAAGACCACCAGACCATGGCAACTGTGATGCAATAAATTTTTAATGACAGTGAGCAAAGGAATCCATTTCAGAGTCTCCAAGAAGTTAAGCAGCTGTTCTCCAGCCCGAGGCACATTCCCATGGGATCGAGCTGGGGGTTTTCTGAGGCTCAGCTCTTGGTTTGAGCAAACAGGACCCATCCTGAGCACTTCTGTCCAGGCAGCACAGAAGTGGGGTGGGAGGAGCCTTAGGGCAGGAAATGGAAGCAGAAACGAGGAGGAGAAATTCCAAAGGGGCTGAAGGGCCTCGGGATGGAGCAGTGGTGGTTCCCTGCTCTCTGCCTGTGGAACCATCACTTCCCATCCCTCACTTGGGGTGTCCCCGTGGGGCTCAGCAGGGCCCAAAGCTGCCACGGCTGTACCTGCTGGACCTGTAGGAGTAGGGGCTGCAGGAGCCATAGGATCTGCCAGAGCCCCACAGACCCCCATAGCCCAGGGAACCATATCCCCCATAGCCCAGGGAGCCATATCCCCCATAGCCCAGGGATCCATATCCCCCATAACCCAGGGAGCCATATCCCCCATAACCCAGGGATCCATATCCCCCATAACCTAGGGATCCATATCCCCCATAGCCCAGGGATCCATAACCTCTATAGCCCAGGGATCCATATCCCCCATAGCCCAGGGAGCCCCCATAGCCCAGGGAGCCCCCATAGCCCAGGGATCCGTAGCCCCCATAGCCCAGGGAGCCCCCATAGCCCCCAAGAACGGGGGCTCCAGCGGATCCCACGATGGAATCCTGAGGGAAGGAGCTGAGGATGGGCCCAGGGAAGGTGACCACCACGGGGGGGGGCTGGATGAGGGTGGTGGAGTCGGGGCACTGGCGCACACAGGGCTCGTTCCCGCTGTCAGCCAGGGGCTGGGGGCGCAGGACGCCGCAGGGGGACAGGTCAGAGCAGGACATTCTGCAGGGCTGGCGGTGAACCTGTGAAAGGGGTTCAGTTATTCACGTTAGAGATGCATCAAACAGCCCAACAGGGTGCCAGAAGGAAATCTGGGAAGCATTTCCTATCACTTTTCTTTCTATCACATAACCCCTCGGCCAGCCTTGACTTCAGTAAAACAAAGTCAAGTTCTCTTCAGTTTTGTCCAACAGAATCATGTACTTTTCAGCTGGATCTTTGGAATTTCCAGCTGGGACAATTTTGACAGTACTACACTGCTCTTAGCTGATGGTTTCTGCTTGCTAAGTTTGGTCTTTGCTGTCACAAACTCAGCAATGCTCAACCAAATGCAGCACCACACAACAATGCAGATGAGTTATTTGCCTCCCAAAATACAGTCAAGTTCTTTGAAGTGCTGAAAGTCTATGGGTTTGGAATTCAAAACTTGATACGCCCCTCTCCTGGGGTCTGTCTTTAAAAGGCCTGGAGATGAATGAGAACTCAAACATCATTTCCAGCAGCAAATCTCCCCCAGGTCAGGGGCAGCCTGGAAGCAACCCGGGAGGACTCGGTGCCAAGGGACAACCCAGAGCTCCTGACAGCAAGTTTAGAGAAGCCTGAGAGAAATTCTGCCTTACCTGGTTCCCAGAGGTGGCTGAGCTGAGGGAGGTGGATGAGCTGGGAGCAGTGGATGGAGAGACCTGGTGCAGGGAGCTTTTATAGGGCCCTGAGCTTGCCTGGGGGACGTTGGGCACCCGATGCGCGAGTTCCTAATTAGGTCCCAACCCCAAATTGCAGGACACATAATTCCTCAAAGTGCTGAAATTGTTTTTGCTTATTGCCTGTGCATTGCAGGCACTTCAAACCCACACATGGGGTGACGTGCACATTCCAGCCCAGACCTCTATTGTCTCCAGGCTTTAGGTGTGGAGTTCTTTTTTATTATTCCATTGCTTTCCAGAGCGTTAGGGGAGGACAGAAGCTGACTTGATTTATTTAATGAGGATGATAGGAGGACACTCATTCTTTTTGTTGGGTTGCAGGTCTTTTGCTGTAATCAACAGGATACCTGGAGCCAAATGGAATTTCTTTCAGGATCTCAAATGAGGGGACAAGCGACTTCTTTGTGCAGGTTCAGCACTTCTGCCCCCCCTGCTCAGTGCAAGGCAAACACGACGAGCAGGAGCATCTTTGAACGGCTTCTGTATCACAGAATCACATCATGGAATGGTTTGGGTTGGAAGGGACCTGGAAGATCATCCCATTCCACCCCCTGCCACGGGCAGGGACACCTTCCACTGTCCCAGGTTGCTCCAGCCTGGCCTTGGACACTCCCAGGGATGGAGCAGCCACAGCTTCTCTGGGCAACCTGTGCCAGGGCCTCCCCACCCTCCCAGGGAACAATTTATCCCTGATATCCCACCTGAACCTGCTCTCTGTCAGTGTGCATTTTAAATAAGAAAGGCAGATTTTACTTTTAAAGTCAAAGGAAGGTCAAAAAGTGTTATAAACCACGAACTGATTACGGGAAAAACCCCAAGTGACCTCAATTTACCTGTTTAATGTGATAATCTCTGCTAATAGTGGGGTGGATACATCACCCAGGCCCACATTGTGCAGAACTATGACACAGTCTGTACAAGTTGGTAATGGGTGTTCATGAGGTGTTTGAAAATCCCTTGGAATGTCCTTGTAAAACCTTGACATGGGTTTGGGGTTTGTTTTTTTTTTCTTCCAGGATAATAGCTGGGAAATCTCCCTACGGATCTCCAGGTTTGGAAAAGCTCATAATTTATAAATAATACGTGGTGTGCAGATAAGCAGGTCGGTGATTATGATAACAGAGATAATGACAGTGTTACAGGAACAGAGTCAGCAGAGGAGGAAACCTCAGCAAAAGGCAGCTTTGGCCTTTCCCAGCAGATCCCCAGCTCCTAATTGCTCCCTGCTGAAAGATGCCACCGATGATGGGATTAACTGCGAGAGCCTTTCAAAAAACAAGGGGCTTTTACTCCTACCACAGCTGAATTTGGGGGTTCTCCTGTACAGAACCGTGGACTGGTTTGGGTTGGAGGGGACCCTGAAGATCATCTTGTCCTGGGACACTTTCCACGGTCCCAGGGTGCTCCAAGCCCATCCAACCCAGCCTTGGACACTTCCAGGGATGAGGCAGCCATGGAGTAACCTGTGCCAGGGCCTCCCCACCTCCTGCAAAAGCATCTCAGAGAAATATAAATTCAATTATTAATTCAGTAATTCAAGCTTTAAGCGGCAGTCCGAGGGTCAGAGGGAAGCTGAGGCTGTTCTGGGCACGTGTCCCAAAACCATCCCAGGATTTTGTGATTTCTGACAAACCCCTGAGCATCGTGGCTGTATAAGGCAGGAGGAGAAGGATATCAAAGATAACCAGCTCTGGTTATCCGTGGTGCAACCACAGAGAGGACAGAAAATTGATATTAATGTCATGAATCATGATTTAGGATGAAAGATGCACTCACTTCACCCATCAGCCTCTCAGATGAAAGGGGTGGTGCTCCAGGAGACCTGAAATCAAGAAATAAACACCAACCCCAAGCAACAGTTTCGTCACTTTGCAGAACTATCAATCCCAAAAATGTGCCCTGTCACCTAATGAGCTGCATGTTAATTAAATCAGCCTCTCCCCCCTCGGGCACTCTGCACTGTATAAAAGCTGCCTCCACTCGGGGCTCTCCCAACATCTTCTCTTCACTCCTTCTTCCCAAGGACCTGGTGAGTCTGGAGCTGCTGTTCCCAGCTCTTGGGATTCCTCTTTGCTTAACAGGTTATGGGGGGTGGAAAATTTAGCTGGGATGGTCTCCTCCGTTAAAGACTGGTAGGCAAAATTTTAGGTGTTGTGGACACCTGAAAAATTGTTGTGGACAACTGTTCTCTGCCTTCAGGGTCATCACTTCATTCCAAGTGTCTTGATATGGCACAGAATTTAGTTTGTTATTGGGTTGCTTCCAGTTGTGTCCATGAGGAGACGAGTTCACTGTTTATTCCTCTTCTCTGTTTGTTTAAGTGGGTGACTGGAAATTATTTGGGGAATTGATCTTCGTGGTTGGTTCACAGGGCTTAGAAGCCGACCTGCCATTATATCCAGATTATCCTGTTAAAAATCATCCAAAATGGTTTTAGTTCGAGATAAATGGGCATGAAAACTCCCAGAGATCAGGCACTGGTTTAGAGGAGGACAGAGAGGGACTGAGAGATGTTGAAAATGTTCTGTAACACATTTCTTTAGGATAAAAAGGGGTCATGGAGGGAATTTAAGAGCTGAAAAGTGAAGTGCTGTTGTTTGGTGTGAGGCTTTTTCATAATAGTTCAGAGCCCCAAATCAAGATGCTGTGGCCTTAAGTGAGTTGTAAATATCTCAGTGCCCTGATTCAATGTTTGGAAATTCGGGACAATCATCTCTGCAGTTCCCTCCTAATGGTCCCATCAAACAAGCTCCCGAGCAAATCTGAGCAGACAATGAGTCCTAATCCCTGTTTTGACAAGGATCAGCACAGAGGAGATCAGTGGCAGTGCAGAGCTAGTCATGGAATCACAACCAGCAACACACTGGGCTCCTGGAGTCCCACTGCTGGCGGAGCCACCGACTCACCGGAGAGTTTGGCTCTTCTGCTCCAGTTCTGGTGTTTAATGGGGAAACTGCTGCGCTTTGGAGGGGCTCCGGTGGGAGGGAAGGCAGGGAACTCCCCGGCACCTTCCTGTGGCTAAATCATGTCTTGCTCTTGCTCAAATCAACTCCTGCAGATCGACCTCCAGCCCTGCAGAATGTCCTGCTCTGACCTGTCCCCCTGCGGCGTCCTGCGCCCCCAGCCCCTGGCTGACAGCGGGAACGAGCCCTGTGTGCGCCAGTGCCCCGACTCCAGCACCCTCATCCAGCCCCCCCCCGTGGTGGTCACCTTCCCTGGGCCCATCCTCAGCTCCTTCCCTCAGGATTCCATCGTGGGATCCGCTGGAGCCCCCGTTCTTGGGGGCTATGGGGGCTCCCTGGGCTATGGGGGCTCCCTGGGCTATGGGGGCTCCCTGGGTTATGGGGGCTCCCTGGGTTATGGGGGATATGGATCCCTGGGTTATGGGGGATATGGATCCCTGGGCTATGGGGGCTCCCTGGGCTATGGGGGCTCCCTGGGTTATGGGGGATATGGATCCCTGGGTTATGGGGGATATGGATCCCTGGGCTATGGGGGATATGGATCCCTGGGCTATGGGGGATATGGATCCCTGGGTTATGGGGGATATGGCTCCCTGGGCTATGGGGGTCTGTGGGGCTCTGGCAGATCCTATGGCTCCTGCAGCCCCTACTCCTACAGGTCCAGCAGGTACAGCCGTGGCAGCTTTGGGCCCTGCTGAGCCCCACAGGGACACCCCTGCACTGCAGGCCCTGCTGAGCCCCACAGGGACACCTCTGCACTGAAGAATTTTGGCAAACAATACAACCCTGGATCCTCCACTCAGCTCCTGAGCAAGGGGCAGAGCATCAGACTTCCACTTAAAAGACAGTGGGGTCAGAATACCTCTGGAAATTCCCCTTATTTCCTCCTTCCTCTGTTTCCTCCCCTCCTCCCTGTCCCTGCCAGTGGCCAAATGTGGGACTCCACCATCCCCTGGCTCCTCCCTGAAGCTGCTGCCTCCTGAGACAAGGCTGAGGGAACACCTCTTGTGAAGCACAGAGGGGTGACCTGCCTGTCTTTGCTCCTGTGGCTTTGTCCAGGGGGCCCTTCCCTCCCCTGCAATAAAACAATCCTGCATCCAACACCTGCCTCTGTTTTTCCTGTCAAAGCCCAGCCTGGGCTTTAGGGGTCCCTCGTGGTGGTCTCTCACCCCCCCTCACGACCAGGCTGAGCTGCCTTTGGTCAGAGCCCTCAGCTGAGAGTCCTCCCTGCCTTGTCCTTCATTGTCACCAAGCTGAAATTCTCGTGGCCCTTGCACTAATTAATGCCACTGCCAGACTCCCAGCAGTCACTCCAGTTATCCCCATCCAGCTGGGCACTGGAACAGGCTCCCCAGGGCAGTGGCCATGGCCCCAAGCCAGAGTTCAAGGAGCCTTTGGAAAATGCTCTCAGGGACATGGTGGGATTTGGGGGTGTTCTGTGCAGGGTCAGGAGTTGGATTTGATGATCCTTGTGGGTCCCTTCCAATCAGGATATTCTGTGACTCTGTTTTCAACAAGTTAATTTAGTGCTGGAATTCCTTTTAATTTCTCGTCTGCCAGACCATGCACGAGAAATCCTCAAAGTGCCTTCAAAGACAAGGCAAAAAATGTGGCCTGAAGTTCTGTCCAAGCCTATTCTGAAAAGGAGTGAAAGGAGGAAGGTGAACAATGGGAAACACTTTTTCAGATCAGTATCAGGTGAGCAAAGGTGAAGCACTACCTCTTTTTTTTGTTCAGCACTGCTGTGACAACAGCTGCCTGAGGGAAGGTTTGGCTGAACCTGTTTGTCAGCTGGGGAAGTGAAAAGAACATGAACTAATGCACCAGAGAGGATTCACCTCTGCCTTTCTCGGAGACTCTTTCAAAGAAAAGCTCCACACACGGATGAACCATTTCTTGATCTCAGTTCTGCAAGTCAGATTTTTCACAGGTAACTTCAGTGTTCCTCCCCAGAGGGGACTGGATAGCTCGGATGGCCTCGTGCTGGAAGTAATTACAGACTGAAATGGGAATCAGTCCGTGCCACTCGTGGTTTTTATTTTAAGAAAACAACATTCCATTTTTATGGATTAACAAGTGCTCACTGAGAACATTTTGACCAAGAATCCCGGAATCATTTTGGTTGGAAAAGACCTCCAAGATCATCGAGCCCCACCTTTGGCCCACCTGCAGCCAGGTGAACGTGTGTTGTGTCAGACAGTGCTCAGCACCAGACACAGCAGTGCTGAGAGCCTCTGACACCCCGACAGCACAGGGAGGGAGCTTTTCCTGGGGCTGGAGGCTGGCAGTGAGCTCAGGGCTGGTTGCACAAGGCCCAGAGATGCCCTTTCTCGGTGCCCAGTGTCAGGTGGGGGCTGTGAGGATGGAGGGAGTTCACTGCATTCCTCACTCAGGGCTCAGTCCCGGGAAACCTCCAATTATTCCTTGAGTCGGTGGCCTTGGCACATCTTTTGGGAGACTCTGGTTTATGCCCTGATAACATAAAGGAGTGGCACCAGACAGGAGGGAATCAGACTTTCAGACTGGAAAAACAAGGTGTTCTTAACTGATGGGAGGAACAGTGAGAGTGTGACTGCCAGTGACAGGGAGCAAGGCCGGGACCTGCTGGCTCCAGGTTTCCCAAGAGAGTCTCAGATCTCCGGATCCTTAATATGTTAAATATCTATTAAATATATATTAATTGTACATTAAATATGTATTAATTATACATTAAATATCTATTAAACATGTATTAATTATATATTGAATACCTAGTAAACATTTATTAATTATATATTTAATATCTATTAAATATCCATGCAGCTCCTGCTGTCTCCCAGTGGCAGGTCACCTGAATGGGCTCCAGGTCCTGTACCTGTGCATGCTCTGGAGTGACTTTATTCTAAACAAAAAATATCAGAGGCGTAGTAATTAAAGCAGGACCTGTTAAAACAAGGGAAGGAGCACACCCAGCTTCCCTTTCACTGCAGACATGTCCCGACTTCTCCAACAGACAGGCTGAATCCAGGAAAAACCAATGGGACTAATCCTGAATAAACCACCGTGTGCAACAGAAAGGGATGAAATAAACGTTGTTGGGTTTGTCATGCTGAGTGAAACAAAGGAAAAGATTATCTGTGCTTGCTTTGACACCGAGGGAGTTACACTTTCCCTACAGGAGGTGCAGCAGCAGCTCTGTAGGTTTTGCAGAGTGAGAGGGCAGCATCACATGTTCTTCTGGAAGGCCACAAGTGCCTAAGACACCTCTAACAGAGCTGCAATACAATAATATTATGGCCGAAATGTACCAGTGTAAACATAATTTTAAACGTGTATATATAAGAACACAAGTATTTATAAATATACTTGAAGACACTTAGTACTCCAAACACTTCATCCCAAGACATTGTTGCACTTTTGTCATTGAATCGTTCTTCTATTCATTGCTCTTCCCCAGAAATCAGATTTTCCCTGTGCTGAAAACCACTGAACTGGAGTGGGATACAAACAAAGCAGGAATCACCTCATCTCTCTGAGGAGTAACAAATGCCTGAGAGCCCGTGGGGAAACACGGAGAGAGCAGAGTTCACCCTCCCACAGCTGCTGGGAAAAGAGCTCCAGACAAAGAGACAACGAAACAGGACTTGGCTGCAGGAAAAGTTTATTGAGCAGAGAGGGTCAGGAGAGAGGGTGAGAGAGATGGTGGGCAAGAGCCAGGCAGGCTGGTGGTGCCGGGCTGGAGGAGGCCAAGGGCTGTTGTGCAGCTGCTGGGCTGTGGAGCGTGGTCAGCGCTGGCAGTGGGGTGTGGGCTGGGTCTAGCAGGGCCCGCAGGTGTCCCAGACTTTCCTGGAGTAGCGGGGCAGGAGCCAAGGGCTGCAGGCGGGAGCAGCGCAGGCTGTGGGAAAGGTGCAGAGGCCCCCCGAGGCCTGGGTGGCCCCTTGGCCGTAGAGGCCCCCCAGCCCCAGGGAGCCCCCAAAGGCGGGGGCTCCGGCGGAGCCCACCACGGCTTGCTGGGGGAAGGAGCTGAGGATGGGGCCGGGGAAGGTGACCACCACGGGGGGCGGCTGGATGAAGGCCGTGGAGTCGGGGCACTGGCGGGCGCACAGCTCGTTGCAGCTCTCGGCGATGGGCTGGGGCACAGCCACGCTGGGCTTGGGCACAGCCACGCTGGCTTTGGGTGGGCACAGGTCGTAGCAGGACATCTTGGGGTGACGGAGGTGAGGCTGAAACACAGAACCACAAATAAAAGATGTCATGAGCGAGCAGGAGACCCCCGGGCTGAGCAGTTCAATGATCCCTGGCTGCACTAGAACTGAAGTGCTCAGAGCCACATGGACTTGAGCTCTCTGCCCATGACATGCCCTTTGCCCTGACAACCCCCTGAGTGCCCTGATCCCCACAGCCAGAGACCACAGACTCCCTGCCCAAGCCCCTGTGCCCAGCCTGGCTGTGCCTGTGGCAGCCAAGGGGCCCCTTCCTGGTGCCAGTGCAGCTGATCCCTGCCAGTCCCTGCCAGGCTGCTCCCAGCACAGCCGCTGCCCTGGCAGCTGTGGGGGCCAGGGAGGGCCGTGGCCAGCCCCTGCCCCAGGAGGCCCAGAGCCCGGGCACCCACCTGCCCTTGTGCTGAGCAGAGCGAGGCCGCAGCAGTGGATGCAGCCCTGGCCCAGGGCAGCGCTTTTATGGGGGGCCGGGCAGGCGGGGCGGGAGCTGCCCATGCTGGGGGCACGTGGCACTGGGGGCCCAGCCCCTGCCTCCTCCCTGCCTGCCACGGGGCTCTTTTGCTGACTGGCTCTCCTGGACAGCCCCAACCCGCTCTCTCAGCCCCTGCAATTACCCCCTCACACGCTGCCAGCTCATGGGGCACATCAGTCCTGCTGGCTCCTCATTATCTCATCGGGGCCATCATCTGCACAGGGGAAGGTTATGAAACCCCACAGCCAAGGCAGCTCCTCGGGCCCTGCCTGCTCAGCACGGGGCATCACTGGCCAGCCCAGCAGAGCCGGGCTCCATCCACCTCCAGGCTCTGGCCATGGAGCTCTGCAGGCCTGGGGGAGAGAAACCCCTCCTGCCCTGCCCACAGGGGAATGGGGCAAGGAGCACAGAGCCCCAGTGCAGCCCCCGTGATTCTGGTGCCTGCCAGCCCCGTCCCAGCCCCACCACAACCCCTCCCAGCTCCTCCTGGAGCCCCATTGCTGAGGGAGATCCCAGGATCACACAATATGTCAGGGGGGATTGGACCCTCAAGGATCATCCAGTGAAACTCCTGTCCCTGCACAAGAGTCATCCCATGTGCCCCAGAGTATTGTCCAAAGAGCTGTTGAAGTGTGTGAGGCTTGGTGCTGTGAGCACTGCCCTGCTGCCAAGTGCCCAGGAGGCAGGAAAGGGCAGCAGGCTGGGGCAGTGGGATGTGCTGGGGTGGCAACCGGGGGGATGCTGACTCAGGGAGGGGCAGGAGCGGCCCAGCCCTGGTGGCATCAGCAGCAGGGAGTGTCCCCTGTGCCCATTGGCCCGGCTGGGGCTGAGCACTGGTGGGGCTGCTATAAAAGGCCTGGCCGGGCCAGGCTGTGCCAAGCTGCTCTGGCCACCTTGTCCTCGGGGAAAAGGGTAAGTGTGGCAGCGCTTGTGCTGCCGGCTCCTGCTGCAGCCCCGGCCCCCGGGGCTGGGCCGCTGCCCTCTGCTGCTCTGCTGCCATCACTGCTGCCCTCTTGCAGAGCTCCAGCGCATCCCTGGCCGAGATGTCCTGCTACGACCTGTGCCCACCCAAAGCCAGCGTGGCTGTGCCCAAGCCCAGCGTGGCTGTGCCCCAGCCCATCGCCGAGAGCTGCAACGAGCTGTGCGCCCGCCAGTGCCCCGACTCCACGGCCTTCATCCAGCCGCCCCCCGTGGTGGTCACCTTCCCCGGCCCCATCCTCAGCTCCTTCCCCCAGCAAGCCGTGGTGGGCTCCGCCGGAGCCCCCGCCTTTGGGGGCTCCCTGGGGCTGGGGGGCCTCTACGGCCAAGGGGCCACCCAGGCCTCGGGGGGCCTCTGCACCTTTCCCACAGCCTGCGCTGCTCCCGCCTGCAGCCCTTGGCTCCTGCCCCGCTACTCCAGGAAAGTCTGGGACACCTGCAGGCCCTACTAAAACCCGCAGAAAGAATCTTAAGTAGTCTATTATGCCTCAGACTCACTCCTCATTTTTGTCCTTTCCTTCCCCTCTCCCCATGACTCCTCTCCCCCTCCTTGCTCCTGCCTGTACCCATATTCCCAACTCCCCCATGGTCCCACAGGGCACTTGCTTCTCTCTGGAAGAGCCCCTGCCTGGCACAAGCCTGAAGGATCAGCTCTCTGGCAGCCTGGGCAGATAACCTGCCTGCCTCTGCCTGATGTGTCTTTGTCCAGTGTATTCTTTGCTGCTCTTAAAATAAAAGAATCTTGCATCCAACTTCTGCCTCTCTGGTTTCACTGTCAAAACCAGCCTTTGCTGAAGGGCTTCCTTGCACTAACCATCGTCCCCACCCAGTGGGCCAGACCAGTCTGTCGTCCCCAGCAGAGCCCGGCTGAGCTGCCTCTGCACAGCCCCCCAGCCCTGGCAGCTCTCAGCACACACGGTCCTGCAGCTGAGCTCCAAGGGCTCTGCCTGCAGCCGGGCAGCTCCTCTGGCTGCAGCACTTGCAGCCCGTGGGCTTTTGAAGCCCTCCAGCCCTTTGGGTAAAAGTGAGGCTGACCCTGGGCCTGGGGACACGCCAGGGGCAAAGGCTGCCTGAGCTCCAGCCCGTCTGATCCTGCACAGCTCTGCTAAAGGTCTGTGGAGTGATGGCAAAGAAGAGGCTTCCCTTTCTCTGTGCTCCTTATCTTAAATTGCCTTCTCAGCAGCACCTTCTCTTTCCCTTTCCCCATCTCCTTCTCTTTCGCCTCCTGCTTTTCCTTCTACTTCTCCTAGTCCTAATCCTTCTCATTCCTCTCCTTCTTCTGCTTCCATTACATCTTTGCTATAATTTTCTGCTTCCCATGACCCTTCACTGTCCCCTTCTCTCTTCTATTTTACCTTCCCCTTCCCTTTCCCATTCCCCTTTATTTCTTCTGCTCCCCCCCAGCACCCACAGCACAATTGCTGCCCCTCAGCTCTGCCTCAGACACAAAATGATAAGTCTAAGGGAGAGGAAGGGAAAGAAAAGCTGAGAGGGGACACATGTCCAGAGTCACTGCCCACGGGGTCCAGCGATGACACTCGGGAGTTGCAGCTTCCACGTCTGTCAGTTGAAGTGGTGGCCTTGATCTGCTGGGGGAAGGAGGGAAGCCCCCACACTGCAAGAAGTTCTGAGTTATTGTATCCATGGTTGGTGTCAGGGGCCATGCCTCGAGCCTCCAACCTCTCCCTGGGCCTGAGCAGAGTTTCTGTGTCTGGCCTGGTTCCCTCCTTTCAAGATTGGCAGAGGGGGGCAGGATGGGCTTTGATGGGCCATCAGAGGTATAATGCAAAAGTCAAAAGCCTGAAACTCGGCTCCTCCTGCCTTTTCAGGGCTGGACACCTTCAGCACTGGAGGGAGGGCTGGGCCCAACTGCCCATCAGAAGTTTAATGCAAAAGTCCTGCAGAAGCCTGCAAAAGTCCCTTGGCAATCCTAGAATGCATAAATCATGAACCATTTCAGTCTCTGACAGAGTGTCTGCAGGGCCCCACAGGTGTCCTGTCCTTGGGGGCACAGCAGTGGGCACAGCAGGGCAGGGCTGGCCTGGCCAGGGCTGAGTGGAGGGCAGGGATCCCTCTGTGCAGCTGCCACACAGACACCTCTGCCCACCACTGCAACCCCCAGTGCCCCCTGGGCATCCCAGCAACAGCTTTGCCCTCCCACACTTGGCACTGCCCCACACGCAGGGTCTTCCCAACCAGGACAAACTAGGGATGGAGACAAGACTTGACTGCAGGAAAAGTTTATTGAGCAGAGAGGGTCAGGAGAGAGGGTGAGAGAGATGGTGGGCAAGAGCCAGGCAGGCTGGTGGTGCCGGGCTGGAGGAGGCCAAGGGCTGTTGTGCAGCTGCTGGGCTGTGGAGCGTGGTCAGCGCTGGCAGTGGGGTGTGGGCTGGGTCTAGCAGGGCCCGCAGGTGTCCCAGACTTTCCTGGAGTAGCGGGGCAGGAGCCAAGGGCTGCAGGCGGGAGCAGCGCAGGCTGTGGGAAAGGTGCAGAGGCCCCCCGAGGCCTGGGTGGCCCCTTGGCCGTAGAGGCCCCCCAGCCCCAGGGAGCCCCCAAAGGCGGGGGCTCCGGCGGAGCCCACCACGGCTTGCTGGGGGAAGGAGCTGAGGATGGGGCCGGGGAAGGTGACCACCACGGGGGGCGGCTGGATGAAGGCCGTGGAGTCGGGGCACTGGCGGGCGCACAGCTCGTTGCAGCTCTCGGCGATGGGCTGGGGCACAGCCACGCTGGGCTTGGGCACAGCCACGCTGGCTTTGGGTGGGCACAGGTCGTAGCAGGACATCTCGGCCAGGGATGCGCTGGAGCTCTGCAAGAGGGCAGCAGTGATGGCAGCAGAGCAGCAGAGGGCAGCGGCCCAGGCCCGGGGGCCGGGGCTGCAGCAGGAGCCGGCAGCACAAGCGCTGCCACACTTACCCTTTTCCCCGAGGACAAGGTGGCCAGAGCAGCTTGGCACAGCCTGGCCCGGCCAGGCCTTTTATAGCAGCCCCACCAGTGCTCAGCCCCAGCCGGGCCAATGGGCACAGGGGACACTCCCTGCTGCTGATGCCACCAGGGCTGGGCCGCTCCTGCCCCTCCCTGAGTCAGCATCCCCCCGGCTGCCACCCCAGCACATCCCACTGCCCCAGCCTGCTGCCCCTTCCTGCCTCCTGGGCACTTGGCAGCAGGGCATTGCTCACAGCACCAAGCCTCACACACTTCAACAGCTCTTTGGACAATACTCTGGGGCACATGGGATGACTCTTGTGCAGGGACAGGAGTTTCACTGGATGATCCTTGAGGGTCCAATCCCCCCTGACATATTGTGTGATCCTGGGATCTCCCTCAGCAATGGGGCTCCAGGAGGAGCTGGGAGGGGTTGTGGTGGGGCTGGGACGGGGCTGGCAGGCACCAGAATCACGGGGGCTGCACTGGGGCTCTGTGCTCCTTGCCCCATTCCCCTGTGGGCAGGGCAGGAGGGGTTTCTCTCCCCCAGGCCTGCAGAGCTCCATGGCCAGAGCCTGGAGGTGGATGGAGCCCGGCTCTGCTGGGCTGGCCAGTGATGCCCCGTGCTGAGCAGGCAGGGCCCGAGGAGCTGCCTTGGCTGTGGGGTTTCGTAACCTTCCCCTGTGCAGATGATGGCCCCGATGAGATAATGAGGAGCCAGCAGGACTGATGTGCCCCATGAGCTGGCAGCGTGTGAGGGGGTAATTGCAGGGGCTGAGAGAGCGGGTTGGGGCTGTCCAGGAGAGCCAGTCAGCAAAAGAGCCCCGTGGCAGGCAGGGAGGAGGCAGGGGCTGGGCCCCCAGTGCCACGTGCCCCCAGCATGGGCAGCTCCCGCCCCGCCTGCCCGGCCCCCCATAAAAGCGCTGCCCTGGGCCAGGGCTGCATCCACTGCTGCGGCCTCGCTCTGCTCAGCACAAGGGCAGGTGGGTGCCCGGGCTCTGGGCCTCCTGGGGCAGGGGCTGGCCACGGCCCTCCCTGGCCCCCACAGCTGCCAGGGCACGGCTGTGCTGGGAGCAGCCTGGCAGGGACTGGCAGGGATCAGCTGCACTGGCACCAGGAAGGGGCCCCTTGGCTGCCACAGGCACAGCCAGGCTGGGCACAGGGGCTTGGGCAGGGAGTCTGTGGTCTCTGGCTGTGGGGATCAGGGCGCTCCGGGGGCTATCAGGGCAAAGGGCAAGAGGTGGCCATTGTGGGAGAGTCAGTACAGATCTGGTCCCTGCAACTGCAGGCCAGGCCTGGGAATAGGGCACTGCTCAGCCCGGGGGTCTCTTGCTTGCTCATGACATCGGTTTTTTTGTTGCTCTGTGTTTCAGCCTCACCTCTGTCACCCCAAGATGTCCTGCTACGACCTGTGCCCACCCAAAGCCAGCGTGGCTGTGCCCAAGCCCAGCGTGGCTGTGCCCCAGCCCATCGCCGAGAGCTGCAACGAGCTGTGCGCCCGCCAGTGCCCCGACTCCACGGCCTTCATCCAGCCGCCCCCCGTGGTGGTCACCTTCCCCGGCCCCATCCTCAGCTCCTTCCCCCAGCAAGCCGTGGTGGGCTCCGCCGGAGCCCCCGCCTTTGGGGGCTCCCTGGGGCTGGGGGGCCTCTACGGCCAAGGGGCCACCCAGGCCTCGGGGGGCCTCTGCACCTTTCCCACAGCCTGCGCTGCTCCCGCCTGCAGCCCTTGGCTCCTGCCCCGCTACTCCAGGAAAGTCTGGGACACCTGCGGGCCCTGCTAGACCCAGCCCACACCCCACTGCCAGCGCTGACCACGCTCCACAGCCCAGCAGCTGCACAACAGCCCTTGGCCTCCTCCAGCCCGGCACCACCAGCCTGCCTGGCTCTTGCCCACCATCTCTCTCACCCTCTCTCCTGACCCTCTCTGCTCAATAAACTTTTCCTGCAGCCAAGTCCTGTTTCGTTGTCTCTTTGTCTGGAGCTCTTTTCCCAGCAGCTGTGGGAGGGTGAACTCTGCTCTCTCCGTGTTTCCCCACGGGCTCTCAGACATTTGTTACTCCTCAGAGAGATGAGGTGATTCCTGCTTTGTTTGTATCCCACTCCAGTTCAGTGGTTTTCAGCACAGGGAAAATCTGATTTCTGGGGAAGAGCAATGAATAGAAGAACGATTCAATGACAAAAGTGCAACAATGTCTTGGGATGAAGTGTTTGGAGTACTAAGTGTCTTCAAGTATATTTATAAATACTTGTGTTCTTATATATACACGTTTAAAATTATGTTTACACTGGTACATTTCGGCCATAATATTATTGTATTGCAGCTCTGTTAGAGGTGTCTTAGGCACTTGTGGCCTTTCAGAAGAACATGTGATGCTGCCCTCTCACTCTGCAAAACCTACAGAGCTGCTGCTGCACCTCCTGTAGGGAAAGTGTAACTCCCTCGGTGTCAAAGCAGGCACAGAGAAGAGGAAGAGAAAGAACGTTGCCAAACATGAATTATGATGCACCATATGTTTAATGAGCAAGAAGTGGCATTAAAAAAAAAAATGTACAGCATAAGAAAGCAGTAGGGTTTCTATGGATAAAATTAATCATAAAATTAATTCTCCTTTTCCAGGCAGCGCTTTACAGCTGGACACCCAGCTCCTACGTGCAACAACCAAAATTGCATTTCTCGCCTCCCTGACAACCCAGAAAGGCCTCAAATCAGCAGTGCCAAGCTCCCGCAGTGCCAGTAGCTCGGGGGGAAGCTGAGGGGGGTCAGCAAGCCGTGGTCACCAGCTCAGTCCTGCAGCCGGGTCGCGCTTCTCGTCTCCGGGCGGTTCCTCCGGGTCACTGCCGAGGCCTCCTCAGGGCCCGCAGCGGTTGGGGCGCCGGTAGGACCTCCCGTACAGGCCCCCCAGCCCCGAGGAGCCGAGGCCCCCCAGCCCCGAGGAGCCCCCGGAGTTGATGGGAACCCCCCCGGCGCTCAGGGCATCGCCCACGGCGGCCGAGGCCGAGGAGCCCACGGCCGTGTTCTGGGGGAAGGAGCTCAGGATGGGCCCGGGCAGGGTCACCACCACGGGCGAGGGCTGGATGACGTACGTGGAGTCCTGGCACTGCCGCACGCAGGGCTCGTTGCAGCTGTTGGCCAGCGGGGTGGGGCCGCAGGAGCTGGGGGGACACAGGTCGTAGCAGGACATGGCTGGGGTGTCACCGAGGCTGCAGCACAGCAAGGGAGGGAGACAAGGAGGAATCTGTGGGTAGAGCCGTGTAATTAAGCTGCTGACGCGAGGGAGAGTGAAAGAGGCTGTGGAGAATGGAATGATGGGTGAGTCTTGGATTGAAAAGAGGCTTCAATGAAGGCCAAACTCCTGCACGGGACAGAGAACAGCTCGAGGGGCAGCTCTGCCTCCCCTGAGCAGCCTTGGGCAGCTCATTCCCACCACCCTCCTCCAGGATCCTCCAGCCCTGGGTGGGCAAGTGGGGGACAGGGCTTATGATCTGTCAGAAAAGGGGGGGAAAACTCTGCCCCAAAATAAAGAGAAAAATTGAGATTTCCTCAGCGAGCAAAAGTGAGGAGCAAAAACTCCCCTGTGAGGGTGGGGAGGCCCTGGCACGGGGTGCCCAGGAGACATTCCAGACCCACCTGGACACGTTCCTGTGTCACCTGCTCTGGGTGACCCTGCCTTGGACTGGAGGGTCTCCAGAGGTCCCTTCCAGCTCCAACTACTCTGGGGTTCTATCCTGAGAGCCAAAATATCTGCACAGATTCACCACATCCACTTCCAACTGTTGAGCAATAGCAGGCAGAGATTGGAACGTTTTGGAACTGAATTATTTGGTGACACAAATGAAAAATGAGGCTGAAGTCCTGCATCCAACCACCTCCACCTTCACAGAACAACCTTCTCCCGGAAAAAAAAGCTGCTTGGTGGTCCCCCCCACACAGAGCACAAACCTCAGACTGCCACAAAGAGGGTGTAAAAATAAAATACAATGAAGGCAACAATTCAAGACCTTACAAAATAAGAAACAAATCAAGACTTACCCTTTCCACTGAGGAGAATAAAGCAGAATTGGATGAAGCTCCTCTGACTGTGCTGCCTTTTATACTCTGGCCCAGAGAGCCTGAGGAGCTAAGGCATAATTTGTGCCATTTACCAGCCAATTACCAAAGACTTCTCAGATGCAAAATCCTCCTGGCTGGTGATTTACTTTTTCCTCACTGTTTGGATTTCCTGCCTTGGTTTAATTTCCTCCCTGTAATGTTTGCATTCCACTCGAGAGGTTTCTTTTATCTTCAGATCTTGGGAGCCCAGTTCATTCCTGCTCAGATGAACTGATTCATCTGAGCTACTGAAGAAATTATTTTGCATCCCAAGGACCGATGACACAGATGAATAAATCTACTAGGAAAGATGGATGGGAACTTCCCTGTGAAATCCCCCTTCCCTCTTCATGGGGAGCAGAAGTTTTTGACACATTTCACTCTGAAAAGGCCAGAAATTCCTGTTTCTGCCTCAGAATTGGACTGTGGGTTTGCCAAATTCCCCTCAAACAGCCAGAGAGCCACACAGATAGAGGAAATAAAATTGTTACACAAAGCACTTAGAGCTGATTAGACTTCACCAGTCTCAAAGGTACTGGGAAATAGATTATTTGAGGGAACATATTTTATTTTCTTGACTCAGGAGACAGGATGAAAGAGCATCAGCAGCATCTGATCTACTCATTTAATATTAAACTGCTTCACTTCCATGAAGGAATTTGAGACACAGATCTTCAGTTTGGGAACTGAGTGTCCAAGTCCTTCATCTGAGAGTCTGCAGTTTAACTTCCTACATCAAACCCCAGGAAAACAATCCAGGTCACATGGGGGATGCCTGTGAATTTTAGGCTGGTCAGAGACACTCAAAGTCTTGCACAGGCTCAGCTTTGGGGTCATTAAAGACGCCAAACAGTTTTACATTTGCCATTAAATTATTACTTTCCCCTACTGGGCCTTGCACTATTATGCAAAGTTGTTCCCCAAATCATCAGCACTCACTTACAGAAGTTTGTAATGTTCTTTTTCTCCCTTTGAAAGCGAATTGTGTCGCTTTCCCTTTGCATGTCTCCCAGAGCATCGCAAGCTGCAACCACCCCATTTCCTTTTCAAAGGCAATTTCGAGATTCAAAAGTAATTGCAGGCAATGCCCAAGCAGACTCGAGGGCAGGGATCAGTATTCCAAGCTCTCCTCATGTTTAAATCACCAAGGCAGAGACATGCAAAGCAACCCCTGAACCAGGAGTATCTTCCTGAACATCTCCTGGGAAATAAGTGCTGGTTGTGCACTTTTGAAGAACAAAAGTCTTCCAAGTTCCCAAACCCTTTGCATCGACAGCTCAGACATGCAAAGGGGGAGTTATCAGCCAGTGGGCAGGATGGGACACCCTTTGAACATGACCAGCTTTGAAATGGGTGACCAAGATCACTCAGGAATGTCACAAACTTCCCCAGAAACTCGAGTCCCTCCATTTTACACTTGAGATACAAATCAGTGTTTGCACAAAGTCACCTGGTAAAAAACCCAGTTCCACTCCTGAGTCACTGGGTGTCCCCAGACAGGATGACCCCATCTCATCTGACCTGGATTGAAGTTCTCCTGTCCTGGGGATCACCCAGAGTTGTCCCAGTGCTCTTACACACAGACACCCACTGTGGCACCCAGAGGGGGAAAAACACCTCCTGGGCTGATCCCCCAACATGGGCAGGGGGAGATTGTGCCCCTCTGCCCCTCAGCTGAGACCCCCCAGCAGAGCTGGGGAACAGCCCCGGGAGCACCTGGAGCTGCTGGAGCCACTGCAGAGGGGCTGAGCAGAGGGATGGAGCAGCTCTGCTGGCAGGAAAGGCTGGGAAAATTGGGATTGTTCAGCCTGGAGAAGGGAAGCTTTGGAGTGACACAGTTGTGGCCTTTCAGGGCCTGAAGGGGCTACAAGGAATGTGGGGAGACTTTGGACAAGGGCCTGGAGTGGCAGGACAAGAGGGAATGGCTTCAGAGTGACAGAGGGAAGGGTCAGATGGATACTGGGAATAAATCCTTCCCTGGGAGGGTGGGGAGACCCTGGCACAGGTTGCCCAGAGAAGCTGTGGCTGCCCCTGGATCCCTGGAAGTGTCCAAGGCCAGGCTGGAGCAACCTGGGATAGTGGAAGGTGTCCCTGCCCATGGCAGGGGATGGAATGAGATGATTTTTAAGGTCCCTTCCACTCAAATCATCCCAGGGCTCTCTGACATTCCTTTATAACAATAACAATCTCTTGATATCGTGAAGTTGTGGCTTTGAGAACCAACTCATCAAAAGGGACAGAGATGATAAAAGGAATCATAAGTCCACTTCTGAAGGTGGTTGTCTGTCCAGCTAGTCTGGCTGGCTCAGTCCTCTCATCCCAGGAGCTGAAAGCTTTGGGATATTGCTCATTGGAATATTAGAGAGGTCAGTGATCCCAAATCTCACGGTCACTTATCAGGGATGGAACTGCACACTCAGGGCTCCAATTGAAGCTCCTGCTGTGACAGCAGGTGGTGCTCCCAAGTGTGTGACCAAAGTGCCAAAGAGCAGACAAAATTCCTAAGCAAATTGGATTTTGACTCCTGGCCATTTTGGAAGGTGGAGTCAGCAGAATGGAGTCAGGAATATTCAGTGGATGCAAAGCAGAGACATGAAAGGGGCCCCGTGGATCGTGGTTTCCCTCCATGGCCAGGAGAAGTCCAGGCAATCAACACAAACAGTAAACAACCCAATTTCACTCCTGGGAGCCCAAATGCAAATCAGAGCCACAACTCAGGCAGGGGTTGGTTGGTGAATGTGCAGGGATGGCTCAGATCCCCCAGGCAGCCTGAGGGAGCTGTAAAAGCCTCTTCCCTCCTCCCTGTGCACGCAGCAGACACTGCACTTCTGCCTCCAGAGTTTGGTGGGCTGTAATTAAATTGCATTTTTTATGTGATTATATTTTGCAATTCTAACCCTCTGCAGAATTAGGAATGGAAACACCTTTGCACTGAGAGGAGTAGGAAATACTTCAGGGTCCTGCAAAAACAGCTCCTGTCACTTCTTCTCTATGGCACCAACTTTTTCCAGCTCTTTGAGAGAAACTCTCCCCTGGGAGGGTGGGGAGGCCCTGGCACAGGTTGCCCAGAGGAGCTGTGGCTGCTCCAGCCCCGGGAGTGTCCAAGGCCAGGTTGGAATAACCTGGGATAGTGGAAGGTGTCCCTGCCCATGGCCTTTCCATGGCCTTTCCAATCCCTTCCAACCCAAACCATCCCATGTTCAGGGATGGATATTGGCAGATGCAAGTTAAGGAAACAAGAGAGAGAGGATCAAGACAGTCCTTTGTTCAGAGCACGTGGATCAAACCAGGCCCTGTTTTATGCTGCTGTTCAGTACTACTAAACCTGGGCTAACAAGGAATGTGTTTCCTTGGTTTTTTTCCAAATAAAACACAAAAACAACTTGGGAGGCAGCCCCTGAGCTTGGCTTGCCTAGAAAGCTTCCTGTGTAACATGATAATCCAGCTCAAAATCTGCAGCAGTGAATGAAAAACACTTTCTGGTTGATTACAAAACCAAACAGGGAAACCCTTTTCTTTGGGACTGTGCTCTTTACTGGTTGCTACACCAAATTTTAACCTAAAAAGGCAGTCTGGGACAGGAGTGAAGGGGGGAAATGGTGCTTGAGGATTGTCTTTGCTTTTCATTTTGAGGTGAGCTGCAAATCAGACCCTTCTGACACAATTCCTGAATGAAACATCCCAACTTTGGGAGGGATCTGCATTCACAGGGGTTACCTCTGGGAAGAGGTTTGGTTCCATTGATGAGAAGAGAATTGCAAGAGCAGAAAAATGCACTTGGTCATGAGAAATATCCACCTGAATGCACTAAAGACACTTTCACTGCAGTGCCTTACTCATAACTCTTTGCAGCCACTGACGTCTTTGGAATTCATCACCTTTGATCAAGCAATAACTTCAGTTGAGATGGCAAAAAATATATTACACATTTAATTCAGACCAACCTTGTCCTGTATTAGAACATCAAACTTTCCATTTGCTTCTGTTGTTTATTAAGAAAACCTGCTCCTTAAAATTATTAATTCTTTCATGGTCTTCCTTCACCTCCTTTAATTTAGTTCCACTAATTAGTGCAGTCAATGCAACTTCATCAACAGCTTTCCCTGGCTTTAATTACAGCTCAGCATCAGTCTGGACAGACACAGACAAAGACTCCAAGCAAGACATTTTACAGAGATCAGGCTGGAGTTGTTTGGGCTGACAGGACAGTGAGTCACCCAGAGCCTTCAGGTGAAGCTTTTCCAAACCTTCTTCCTGCAGGGACCAAAGCTCCCAGTCTCCAAACCTTTATTCCAACACAGTCAGGCTGGAACAAAGCAATGCCTGATAAAGCTCAGCTTTGCCAGACACAGCAAATAGGAGACAGGTTATAAAGACACTAAAAAAGGGTTAGAACTTAAAAATCTTCCAGATTTAGTCCTTAAATCTCTTTCTCCCAGGCATGCTTCCCAGGCCAGCAAATTCCCAGCACATCCCTCTGCTCTTCCCCTCCCAGACTTACCAGGGTCTGAGCTCAGCTGCCAAAAGGTGCTGCACCCACCAAAAAGCTCGGGCTGAACTCAGAGGGATCCTCAGCCCTCCCACCCCCCCTTCCCTGACCAAACCCCACGTCTCTTCCTGCTTTTATAGGGATCTTCCCAAGCATCTCATCTTTATAAATCATCTGTTTATGTCTCAGCCCATTGCAGGTGAAGGCCAACTCTTTGATAAGGGGTGTCAGGCTTGAATTAAAATGTACAGACAAAAGACAAATCATCTTTTGTGTTTTGGCAATGGGCATGAGGGGCTGGAGAAGAAAGAAGGACAGACAGACTCGGAGTAGGATGCAGCACAAATTTAATGAGGCTGGGGAATGGAATATAAAGGTAAGGAACACATTTCTATGGTCCAGTAAGGACAGAACCCACTCATCCCTCTCACAGTGACACACTCAGCAACCTGAAATCTTCCTTCTTCATTGGTGAACTGCACTAATTCAGCCATGCAGGACAATTCCTGACAATTCCGTGTTTTCCCTGTTATCAAACACAAGCACAAAAGCAGGACAAGACATTTGATAATAATACCAAGTAAAGCACAGCAAAAGACAAGCGAAGGCCTGGTTGGAGGAGGTGCAAAGCTCCCACAGCTCCGGCGGCTCCAGGGGAAGTCGTGGGTGTCCAACATCACCTCTGCAAACCGTGGCCGTGAGCTCAGGCCGGCGTCAGGTCGCGCTCCAGAATTCCTGGTGGTTCCTTCCCGCCTTTCCCCTCGTGCAGAGCGCTAACAGGGCCCGTAGAAGCCCCCGCGGAAGGTGCTGGAGCGCCGGGAGGGCCGGTTGTAGCCCCCGCCCAGCCCGGGGGAGCCAAAGCCCCCCAGTCCCAGGGAGCCCCCGGAGTTGATGGGAACCCCCCCGGCGCTCAGGGCGCTGCCCACGGCGGCCGAGGCCGAGGAGCCCACGGTGGTGCTCTGGGGGAAGGAGCTCAGGATGGGCCCGGGCAGGGTCACCACCACGGCCGGGGGCTGGATGAGCACGGTGGAGTCCTGGCACTGCCGCACGCAGGGCTCGGCGCAGCTGTTGGCCAGCGGGGTGGGGCCGCAGGGGCCGGGGGGACACAGCTCGTAGCAGGACATCCCTGGGGGGGCAGGACCTGAAAGACAGGGCAGAGAGGGGGGTTACTGTGCTCACACCAGTGACCAGAACAGGGGCTGTCCTGGATCCCTCCAGGAGCTGAGTGAGGAGGAACCCAAGTTCTTAATGGGCACCACAATATAGGAAAGAGATGAAGCCCTTACAGAGCATCCAAACAGAGGGCAAAGAGATGGGGAAGGGCCTTGGTTTGAAGCCGTGGGAGGGCACTGAGGGCACTTGGTGTGTTCAGCTGGAGCAGAGGAGACTGAGGGGAGACCTCAGTGCAGTTCCAGTTCCTGGGCAGGGGCAGAGGAGGGACAGGACTGAGCTCTGCTCTGGGGGGACCAGGGACAGCACCCAGGGAAGGGCTGGAGCTGTGCCAGGGCAGGCTCAGGTTGGATCTCAGGCAAAGGTTCTTCCCCCAGAGGCTGGTTGGGCACTGCCCAGGCTCCCCAGGGCAGTGGGCACAGCCCCAAGGCTGCCAGAGCTCCAGGAGGGTTTGGCTGATCCTCTGGGGCACAGGGTGGGACTCTTGGGGCTGGGCCTGTGCAGGGCCAGGAGCTGGGCTTGATGGTCTTTGTGGGTCCCTTCCAGCTCAGCACATTCTGGGATTCTGTTCTGCTGATCTGCTGAACCCTCCACACTTGGTCTGCGTGGAACTTGGTCACACCACTCTGAACACACCCAAGAACTCACGAGAGACATTTCATGGGCACCTGCAGGACCTGAAAACTTGTTTGGGTCCCAAAGTTGATAAAGAGCCCTAAATGGTGAACGTGGCTCATTGGCATATTAATGATTATTATGACTCACCACCAACATAGGAAATAGGAAAATGTACTTTTTTTATATCAAAATCCCTTCCTCCCTCAGAGAAAAAAAGGCTGAATTTGCCACAAAATGAGTGAGGAAAAGCTACAAAACCATCAAGGCAATAGTTTGTTGTATAAAGAGAGAATAAATGGCTTCAGACTTACCTTGTTCACAGCAAAGAAGGCAAGAGAAATGTCTGGCAGAGCCTGGAGTTGCTCAGGTTTTTATACTGAGCCTTAAGTTGCCCAACAACTTGGGCCACTCTTTGTGCATGAAGTGATTTATGAGCCACTACTGATTACATGTTTTTTTGCCTCAGTATTTGTGTTTATTACTCCTTCACTTCCTTATCTTGTGGCATGTATATCTGACCACAAGACTGTTTCATCTTGAAATATTCTGGGCCAGTCTAATTCCTGGGAACAGTGGAATGATTAATTCAGAAGGATTTGTTCTGCCTTCAAAACCCTCTGGATCTGCTTGGGGTCATTAGAGGAGATTAAGCATCATTTGCATAATGCAGTCCCTGGTCCCCTCCTCTGCCAGGTAAATCCTGGGGGAAAACATCAATTGCTGCTTTTGGAAGTGAACCCATGAGTTTTGGGCCAGTCCTGCCTGGGACACCTCCAGGGCTGGGCACTCCCCCCCTCCCTGGGCAGCCCTTCCAAGGCCTCACCACCCTCTCCAGCAAGAAATTCCTCCTTTTAAGGAAAGGAAAAGAGAGACAATTTTACAGGCAAATTGCCAAGAACACTCACAGTTTTCACCCAGATACAGCCCCCAAAACCTTTCCTGGGTCTCTAATCCTGGGCCTGATCTCTTTGGAGTTCTTCATGGAAAAAATCCACTTTTACTCTCATCTCAGAGCTCAAATATCAGCAGCTGTGTTTAGGTTGAATAAAAAGGTTGCTTTGCTTGGTGAGATTTGTTCCCAAGGAGGAGTTTTGCAGCAGGTAAAGCTTTGCCAAACCCAGCTGTGGAGGCAGAAGTTCCATCCAAGAATCCTTCCTTTCCTAGAGAGTTTCTCCAGCCCTGGAGGTGTCCAAGGAAGGACTGGCTGTGGCACTGAGTGCTCTGGGCTGGGGGACAAGGTGAGGATGGAGCACAGGGTGGATTTGATGATCTTGGAGGTCTTTTCCAACCTAAATAATCCTTATTTTATTGCAACACCCATTTCCCCAGCAGTGTCTGGCTCTGATGTGTCAAAGACCAGTGGACCCAGTTGGAGAATTGTCAAAAGTCTATAAAGTGTCCCTTGGAGCTGATTTTTCTGTGACTTTCCAGCAGCACAAAGAGCTGGAGGCTCCTCTCCAAGGGGCACTTGCAGGATAAATGGTGAAGGGGAAACATCCCTGAGCAGTTCCAGACACAGGGATCAGTCCTGGGGATTTGCTCTCTGAGACATGGAAATGAGCCCCAAATTAGGGCTGTCTTTGGGAAGGTCCCCTGGGAACAGAAACTCGTTTGGCTTGGTCAGAGCTTCCTGAGAACTTCAAAGTTTATCAGAAGCTTTATTAAAGAGCCAGAATGCAAAGTGTGACATGAAGTGCAAATTTAAGATCCGTGACCCACATTTGAATTCCCATATCACTTGTTTAATGACATGTCATTAGGATTTGGGAGTGCAGGGCAGTAATTGGGCTGTAAAATTTATGTCATTGTTTCTGGCTGCAGGAATTAAAGCTGTTTTATTTTAAATTCAATGTAAAAAGCTCAAGGTTTGGTTTAAACCATCTCATATTTCAAGGGGATTCACAAAGAAACTTCCCTGGCTGTTTTTAGCTTCCCCAGCCCTGTCCATTCCTCAGTACTTCTCCATATTCTGAGGGATTAGCAGCCTGTTTCAAAAATAATTTCCTCCTTGGCAGCTATTTGAGGAATTAATTTGCATAACAGCATCCACAGTTTATTGTCATCAATTTTTTTTTATTCTCCCTTCATCCAAGGTTTGCTTGGGAAACAAAAAACACCTTTAAAATCTGACTGTGAGTTTAAAAAAGAAAAAAATCCAGCAACACCATTTTCAGAGATTTCCTCAGCCTTCCTTGAGAATGATGACAATAACCATTGTCCTGACTCCAGCCACTGCATTGTACAGCCAGAATGGCTTTAATGGCCTCGGCTTTGAGATGAATTAAAGTGAGTGAATTAGAAGTTCACAGGCTTTTATAATCAAGGACAGACCTGTGTATTCAGATTATAATTAAACCTTCTTGCATAATGTGAGAACATCCTCCTGAGACACCTGAGAGTGACTAAACTTCTGAAAAAAAAAAAAGAGATTCTTCATCAAAACTGAAGTGGGGTTTTACTCACAGTAAATACCCTGTGGGAGGTCTCCAGGCCCAAAAGTGACCCCAAAATCCCCGTGGGGAGGAGCTTCCCCGGCAGGAGTGTCCCCTGCAGTTCGTTCTCAATCGTAATTAATTAGCTCATTACAAAGAATGAGGTGTCCCTGTGAGCCGAGAGGGTTCCTGGTGCAGGCAGAGCCTGTGATTTGCTCTTCCCCACTTGTGCTGCCCAAATAACTCCCCCCAGGGCAAAGGTGTTCCAGCCCAGGCTGGAGTGTCCTCCCCGAGGTACCTGAAAGGAGCTCAGCTCACTGCTGATCTTATTCAAATGCTGCTGTAAAGAACTGTCAAGTCACTGAAGTCTGAGGTTTGGTTTGGCATCTTAGTTTATAATTTCCCCTTTTGTCAAAAAATAAATGTAGCTCAGTCCTGGATGAACACCTGGAGTATTCCTGCGAAGAACCAGGGGTGGTGTGGTCATTGTGCTGGAATTCTGCTGGGAACAGAACTGGAAAACAACACCAAAAATTCATTTCTGCTCGAGGGAAGAAGTTATTTAGTCACCAGAACCTCTGCAAAACAACACACCCAGAACGGGCGGGTTTTCTTTATTTCTCAAACGAGTTTGAGGGATTTTTTTTTTTTTTCAAATGCAGATTTTTAATTATGTTTCAAATTGTGAGAGTGCAATTAGTGCTGGGTGTGAGATCCACCTCACTGGGAGAGCAATGTCTTGGTGCCACCGAGGCTGAGGAATGTGGGATTTATTCCATCCCCTGGGAGCAGGGCTGTGCCTGCAATAATTGGGATAAACCCTTTGCACAGGTCATTTCTTCCTGCCAGGTGCTCCAGGAGGTATCAGCTCACCTGCATTTGGCTGCAGTTGTGTCCCAGGTTCCTGATTTAAATTTACTCCCACTGGTCATCTAGGAAGGGCCAGATCACCTCCTTGTTTGGAGCTGCAGACCCAGCACTGACACACATCCCTCCCACCCTTTTCCAGCCCAGGAGGAAGAGAAAGAATTTCATGCTCAGAATAAAGTTGAGTGAAAATTCTGCAAAAAGCGAGCTTTTTGCTGAAAGATTGCAAAGTTTTTCAAATAAACAGCAGGAGACTTGGGTTGTGATGCAACATAACTTTAATGAGAGCAAAAAAAGCAGAATAAAAAAGCACAAAGTGTAAGTTGACATTTCTAGGATTCAAGACAGGAGCTAATATGGCTTTTCATCCTGGGTTTGTTTTCTCGGTGCTGCCCTGAACTGGGACAAAAAAAAGCCCCATTTTTACAGCAGCAGAAACAACCCAAATATTTCCTCAGAAACACGAAGGATCAAAGAATAGGACAAGCGGAGGCCTGATGTGAGGAGATGCAAAGCTCCCACCACCCCTGAATTCCGGTGGGGCCGTGGGTGTTCAGCATCACGCCTGGACACGGGGCCGGGTCGTGCTCCAGCGTTCCTGGGGTCGTTCCTGCTTCTCCCCCCGCCTTAGCAGGGCTCCCCAAAGCCACCCCTGGAGGGGTTGGGGCGCCGCGAGGGCCGGACGGACCCCCAGGCCCCCCACCCCGAGGAGCCCCCGGAGGAGACGGGAACCCCCTCGGAGCCCAGGGAGCTGCCCAGGGCGGCCGAGGCCGAGGAGCCCACGGCCGTGCTCTGGGGGAAGGAGCTCAGGATGGGCCCGGGCAGGGTCACCACCACGGCCGGGGGCTGGATGAGCACGGTGGAGTCCTGGCACTGCCGCACGCAGGGCTCGGCGCAGCTGTTGGCCAGCGGGGTGGGGCCGCAGGGGCCGGGGGGACACAGCTCGTAGGAGGACATAGTTCTGGGGCAGAGGCAGGGCTGAAACACAGGGAAGGAAGTTAAACCATTAAAACCTGCAGTGAGTCCACAGAAGTCACCTAAGAGGGTAAGAGATGTCCGGGCACCTACAGAGGTGGCTGGGGAGGTCACACCTCTGTCACACCACCTGTCACAGCAAAACCCACGGGTGGAACTGGCGTTTTACACTTGATTGTTTACATTTGAGAGGTTTCTCTTCTTTTCTGTGAGGCCTCTGAACTGCGGTGCCAGTCATGGAAGGTTTGTCCAAGCCCAACCAGCAAAGGGGTTTCCAGCCTTTGCCCAGGTCCCTCTGCAGAAGCCAACCAGGTTCGTGGCCACCCACTCCCCCAGTGGTCCTAAAAATCCTCTAAAATGGAGCATAAATCTGCTTGTTTTGAGAGATAACATTGCCAGAATCCTCCAAGTCCTGTCTCCTCATGCTCTGCTCCACAAGTAAATAAACCCTTTCTTTTCGGTACAAAGTTTCCAATTTCCCCTGGAGGCAAAACAACGAAACCAGCAATATTTATAAAGAACCGAGAACAACCGACAACAAAAAAGTAAAATAAAACAAAAGCAGCCATCAAAGTGGCAGTTTAGCATTTAAAAAGGCACTGGGGAGGTTCAGACTTACCTGTTCACCCGGGAGAATAAGGCAAGAGAAGAGGATGGAAGGGGCTTGTGTTCTATAGGCTTTTATACCATGGTCCCGCTGCCTGCAGACCAGAGATGTTTATTATGCATGAGATCCCTTAATGGCCCATGTTTTGCATGCAAAACCCCCCAAATCCATCGACTCTGGTTGTTGTTGTTTGTTCCAAAATCTCTCTTGGTGTCGTTCTGCTTTTCCCCTCCCCTGTGACATCCCCACCCCTTTCATCTTCATCCCTGGGCACCCACTTAATTGCTTGGGAAGCCTGTGGTGACTCCTGTGAATTAGGGCAGCAATTATGGTGCCTCCTGAGGCCAGTGGACATTTTAGGCTCCATTTCAGTCATTAAGACACTGCTTGAGGGGAGTGTGGGTGATGTTTAGTCCAAGACTTCGCTGCTGGAGGTGAACAATCAGCTCGGAGGTGACAGCCTGGGCTCAGCCCACAAACAAACGAGGGCTCAGCTTTGCCACAGGACAAGATGCAGAGCAGATATTCCCCAATTTTGCCCTTCCCACACAAACAGGCAGCTGAGAAGAGCAGCACATTTCCATGAGTATTGCAAAGCTGGAAGAAAATTAAAACCAGTGAGAATTGCTGAGCAAGGACAGTAAAACACGTTCCTGCTTGGGCTGAGCCCGGTTTTATGAACCCAGCCCATCCAAACACTCATAAACCTGCAATTCTTTACCCAAACACACATTTTAATATCATTTCCATGCCAAAGTCACCATGAAATGCCAGGATGTGCAGCAATTATCACGACAAATTAAACATGGATGTGGACACTGAGGATGAACTTCAAATGCTGGGTTTAGAGGCTCTGTCTGAGCCAAAGGACAGCGTCAGGACAAATTACCCCAGCACTTCTTCATGCCATTGCCCAGGACATGGTTTGCTGCCCAGCCAGCAGTGACCAGCCCTGGCTGGAATCCAACCTGCTGGAATTGCCTGCAGAGATGAAAATCTGCAGGGATCAGGTGTCTCCTCTCAGCAGAGATAGGAATTAACTCCAGCTGCACAGAGGCTTTGAACAGAGCCTGGGCTGCAGAACAACAAAGGACTTCAAAGGTCCCACCACCTTCTAACCAGGGGCTCAAACATGCAGAGTTTTGGGCTCCCCAGTGTTGGAGGGACGTGATCTCAGTGCTCCCATCACCAGGATAATAACTCCATCACCAGGATAATAACTTAATCTCCAAGTATGTGGGTCAAGATCACTCAAAGGGCTTCACAAACGAATTCAGGTAAGCAATTTCAAAATCTTGAGTTATTTTATTAAATGTTTTTATAAGTCATCTAAAAAAAAATTTAAGCCAAATATTGATTTTTTTATAAAATCTTAAAATCCTCATCTTTTCTCTGCGAGAAAATTCTTCTCTCCTTTTTTTATAAAAGCTTTTTCTATGGAAAAAAAGAGTCTTTTTCATGCCTTTCCTCAAAATCTCTACTATCTACATACAGCCTTTTTAGATATTTAAAAAATTAATTCCTTCTAGTAGGTGAAATCACTCACCCAAAGAATTCAGCTCCCTTTTATCTGAGACAACCAAGGAATGCTTCCTTTCCCTCACTCTTCCCTCTGGGCACAGAAACAGTTTGTCTCGGAGGGTAGATAATATTTAAAAAAAAAAAAAGGCTCATTACCAGCCTGGAAATGTTTGCATTGATATTCTGCCAGTTTGGTAATTGGCACCCAGGGTTCACCCAAAAGCTTGGGAGCCTTTGGGTGCTCCAAGGGCCACACCAAGCCCAGCTCCTGGACCAGGGATGGAGTTTCACACTCCCCACACTCAATTAAAGCCCTTTGTGTGACGAGCTGGTGCTGCCACCCAGGCTGGGGAGGCACCAAGGTGCCCCAAGAGCTGACAAATTACTCCATGAATTGAAATCCCTGTCGTTATGTTGACTTGGGAGTCCGGCTTGTGAGGGAACAAGGCATTCAGATGATCCTCAGGTCTTGGGGATGAAAGAAGCTTTGAGGAAGGGTTTTCATCTGGTGCCAGGGTGAGACTGGTACATAAACCAGGAGCAATTTCACTGCTGGCAGCAATTTAACTACTGGGGACAACTGAAGCTGCTGCAACGTAATTTACAGAACTTAGAATAATTTATATTTTTAATAATGATTTAGTAATTTATATAAGCTGTTAGAATGCCCCAAATCTTCACAACGTGAGAATCTCTTCAATTTTTTCCCCAAACTGACTCTTTGAGCAACTGCTGCAAATCTCACTTAAATCTCAGGTCCTTAATTTTAGCAGAACCAATTTACTTGCAGGGATTTACTGTTTGCAAGAGCTTGTAGTGACAGGACAACAGGGAATGGCTTCAAAATGGCAGAGAGGAGGCTTAGGGGTGGATATTGGGGAAAAAAAATCTTTACTGTGAGGGGAACCACAGCTTCCCTGGGCAACCTGTGCCAGGGCCTCCCCACCCTCCCAGGGAGGAATTCCTTCCCTGTATCCAACCTAAATCTCCCCTCTGTCAGTGTGACCCCATCCCCCTTGTCCTGTCACCCCAGTTCCTGAGGAACATCCCTCTCCAGCTTCCCTGCAGCCCCTTCAGGCCCTGGAAGGGGCTCTGAGGTCTCTTCACCACCTTCTCCTCTCCAGCCCCAAATTTCTCAGCCCAGTGAGGGGCCACTCAGGGATAAATTTCACCCAGGAAAAGTTTCAGAAGGAAATAAGAGGGGAAGGAAAAAAACCACCAGAAGACTGGAGATGCCACAACAGCAACACTTTATTGAGACCAAGGAGTGGATTAAAATCCTGCGAAGCATCAGGCTCAGTGTGGGAAGATCAGGGCTCAGTGTGGGAAGATCAGGGCTCAGTGTGGGAAGATCAGGGGTCAGTGTGGGAAGAACAGCACAGCTCGTGGGCTGCATCCCACAGGCAGAGCTCTCCTTTCAGTGCAGGATTGCACCTCGGGCATCAAGTCCCACCTCCTCTCCAGATTAAACTTTTACACCAGGTAGCACCAGGTGCACTGAGGAGCAGCAGAGCCACAGACTGGACTGGAAATACAGAGCAAAACGAGAGGAGCGGCCCCATTTTAGGGAATGACTGATTCCCACAGCTCTGCTTCGGGTGGAGCTGGGGAGCTTGTGAAAGCTGTGGCCGTGAGCCCAGTCCCGCTTTGGGCCGTAACTCGGAATTCCTGGTGGCTCCTTCCCCCTTTCCCCTCGTGCAGAGCGCTAACAGGGCCCGTAGAAGCCCCCGCGGAAGGTGCTGGAGCGCCGGGAGGGCCGGTTGTAGCCCCCGCCCAGCCCGGGGGAGCCAAAGCCCCCCAGTCCCAGGGAGCCCCCGGAGTTGATGGGAACCCCCCCGGCGCTCAGGGCGCTGCCCACGGCGGCCGAGGCCGAGGAGCCCACGGTGGTGCTCTGGGGGAAGGAGCTCAGGATGGGCCCGGGCAGGGTCACCACCACGGCCGGGGGCTGGATGAGCACGGTGGAGTCCTGGCACTGCCGCACGCAGGGCTCGGCGCAGCTGTTGGCCAGCGGGGTGGGGGGACATCGCTCGTAGCAGGACATGGCTGGGGCTGCAGGACCTGAAACAGGGGCAGAGAGGGGGGTTACTGTGCTCGCACCAGTGACCAGGACAGGGGCTGTCCTGGGATCCCTCCAGGAACGGAGCTGAGCGGGAAACCAAACCCTTCAAGGTGTTGGAAGAAGAGGCTGAACCCCCCCCCGGCTCTCGGTGGTGCAGTGGCAGAACCGGCAGTGGGACAGAAGCAAAGGTGCCCGGGTGGTCACTTCAGTTTTAGCAGCTTTGTCTCTTTGCAGAGACACCACCAGGACCCAGCCCCGTGAACTCAGAGCATGGCAGGAGCAACAGTGAGGAGAAACCCCTGCCCACAAAGGCACCTGTGGGTACAGCTCAATAGGCAGCTGGAAGATGAATTGAGGAATTATTCTCAAGGCTCCAACTCTGCCTACACAGAGGTACAAATTCCAATGTAATTAAGGATCCGTGAAGGGGAGGCCTTTTGAAAGCTTTCCCAGACACTTTTCCACAGATGTTCTGCCTAAGAGAAAGCCAGGAATTCCCCGGATGCTCCCTGTGCCTGGTTCCATCACACCAAAAAAATCAAAGCCCACTGATTCCCACACCCATCCCAGTCTGGTCTCCCTCATTTTTGCTCTTCTTTCCCTTTATCTTCACATTATGATCCCATTTCTCTACATTTCAGGAGGTGTCACTGCACTCTGTAACATAACTTCAACATTTGGCAACCCAGCTGACATTTCAAACATTGCAGAGGATGGATAATACCCTTAAAGATATAAAATTCTGCTGGAAATATAACTGGATCTTCTGTTTCCAGAGAACAGTTGGAGTTAAAAGGGATTTTTAAAGATCATACAGTTCCAACCCCTTGCACAGTTATTCTCCCCATTCAGTTTGTTAATCTTTATTATTAGTAGTATTTTCTAAGTCACTCAACATGTCTGAAATCCCACGTTTGAATAAGTTTATATCACCAGTTCAAGGATCCCTATGGCCAAGTCAGGACTCCAGAAATTCTGCAATTCTAACAGCAAACCCCAACTTGTTAAACAGAAAAACTCCTCCCCCAGCAAATTCAGCAACAGGCAGAAAACTGTGGGGAAAAAAAGGCTGTTAACAGGCAAGAACCCAGCAAACAGAGAAAGAAAAGAAGATTTGAACTAACCTTGTTCACAAAAGAGGAAAGAGGGGAGAGAAGTGGTAGGAAGGAGTTGAGTGGAGTTGGTTTTTATAGTGAATCTCAGACGGCCTGGGGAGCACAGACACCCTTTGTACATGAAATTAGTTCCCAACGAGTATGTCCCGCATGCAAAATGCTTCCAACTGATTAAATGCCTTTTCCCCAGTGCTTATTACCTTGTTTTCATTTCCTTATCTTCTGCCAGACATTTGCAGTCTTACAGGTTTCTCTCATCTCGGGAATTAGGGGCTGAATTTATTCCAGTGCCACTTTTCAGTCACAACAAAGTTTGTATTCCAGCCTGTTTCACTTTAGTCATAAAGGAAAACACTGAGAATGTCTATAATACATAATTCATCCTTCCAAGGTGTTCTTTTATT